CACTTGCAAGGGCTTTCCATTTGATAGTTATTGCTTAATGAGTAACAATAAAACTATCTTTTAAAAGCCATTCATCCTCTAAGACACTTTTTACCCACCTCTCACCTTCCCCAGAGGACCTGGAATTGGCATTTAGGTTATGTTTTTATTTCCTACGGGAATGCGTTGTTTTCGGTTTTACTTTCAATATCTCTGGGTTTTCCCCCATTACAACATCCTGCTCCGCTAAGATCAGGGAAAAGGTGAAGGGCTGAGCCTGGCTCAGATCTGCAAGTAAACTTGTTTCTAAGCCAGTAATGGTGGCGCTCGCCAGAAACTTCAGGATTTGAGAGGCTGAGGCAGAGGACTGCCATGAGTCATGAGTTCAAAGTCAGCCTGGACCACAGAATGAACGAGTCCCTGTTTTTGAGAGAGGAGAGAGGAGAGAGGAGAGAGAGAGAGGAGAGAGAGGAGAGAGAGGAGAGAGAGGAGAGAGAGGAGAGAGAGGAGAGAGAGGAGAGAGAGGAGAGAGAGGAGAGAGAGAGAGAGAGAGAGAGAGAGAGAGGGAGAGAGAGAGAGAGGGAGAGANAGAGAGAGAGAGAGAGAGAGAGAGAGAGAGAGAGAGAGAGAGAGAGAGAGAGAACACGCCGGGCGTGGGCGCGGAGTCGCACTTTGATAATCCCAGCATTTGGGAAGGGGAGAACATGAGGAATTCAGGTCACCCTGGGGGTACCTAAGATCCCGCCCCAGAAAACACACGAAAACTACTCCGCTACAAAGTCTCGGGCCTCCCCCTCCCAGCCGAGGCGCAGGTGCACTACCGTCACCCGGTTCGCCCGGTGTCCCGGGGAGACCCGCCCTCCGTTCGGGGTCAACGCCGCGTACCTGGCGCAGCTGTGCGGCCGCCCCGTCCAACCGCGCGCGCATCGTCCTCTCCCGGAACTCGCGCAGGCCCTCGTAGTCGTTCGGGTCGCCCGGGGCCGGGAAGAGCACGTCGCGCACGGTGGCGCCGCCGCAGCCGTCGGCCGCCTGGCCCAGGTAGCGCTCCAGCTGGTGGCAGAGCTCTTGCATCGCCGCATCGCTGGGGTCCGCAGGCGCCGGCCACACGAGCGGCCACACGAGCGCCCACAGTCCGCGCCCCAGGCTCCAGCCCCTGCCGCCCGCCGCGTCCAGCTCGGGTGGCAGCGGCGGGAAGCAGCACTCCAGGGCCGGGTACAGCGCCGCCAACTGCCGGTGCGCTCCCCGGAACCCGGCGGCCGACAGCAGCCCGGCCCAGCTGCAACCCCCGCCGCCGCCGCCCTCCGGCGGCCCGCGTCGCCGCTGCGCCGTGCGGTCGTGACAGGTGACGGCGAACTGGCCCTCCGCGGCGTTCCAGGCCACCAGGAAACGCAGCTGGTGTCGCTCGGGCTCCCGGAAGAGGTCCTCGCGCAGCGGCACCCAGCCTTCCAGGCTGTCGGGCTGCTCGCAGGCCATGGCCGCCGCGGACCCCCAGACCCCGCCGGGCCGCGACATTTTTCGCGAGCCGCGTCTGCTCTCGGCCGCGCAACTGTTCCCGCCCCCTTTTCTCTGATTGGCTGTCTGAAGGAGGCCGCCTCGGGTTGGTTAAGTGAGAGCCAATGAAAAGTCTTTGGGGGGGGAGAGATTGCGACCCGGTTTCCCTTTTACCCCCGGTTAACCTTGAACTCACCAAGTAAACCAAGCTGGCCTTGAACTTTTAGTTCCGCAGCCTGAGGCTCTAGAGGGCGAGAATTAAAGGCTCACCCCGTCGTGCTTGGCAGAGATTTTACTGTGTGTACGGACAGGACGACGTTGCTCCTGAGTACTGGTACCAGAAGAGGGCGTCAGATCCCCTAGCTCAGGATAAGTTCGTGCAGCTGTGAGCCACCTAAGGCACTGGGTCCCGAACTGCAGGTGCTCTGTATAAGCAGTAAGTGCTCTTAGCCTGTGAGCCATCTCTGCAGCCAGTCTTAGTTCTCTGTGCTAAAATGACAATTTCCTTCAGCAGGACCCTGTCAAGGATGTGGCTCCTGCCACAAACATGCTGGTGTGATCAAACTTTCATTTGAACTCAGCAGTTATTGACTGCCTGTGGGTGTTAAGAACTGAGAGTAGCTCTGGGCGGTGGTGGCGCACGCCTTTAATCCCAGCACAGAGGCAGGTGGATTTCTGTGAGATCGAGGCCAGCCCGATTTACAAGAGCTAGTTTCAGGACAGGCTTGAAAGCTACAGAGAAAACCTGTCTCGAAAAAAAAAAAAAAAAAAAAAAACGAAACAAAACAACAAAAAAGAACTGAGTCGCAGGCACATTTATTTTTGCCAAGTTTGCAAGCCTTTACTGAGTGTCCGCGGTGGTTTTGGTATATTGAGGATTTCTGCTTTCCAAGCGTCCTGGCTGGCAACTCAGCGTGCTTAAATATAATCTATTCCAGTTTTATCTCGACGGCAGGGAAACTGAGACCTAGAAAGGGAGCTTATCTACAGTACATCTCCACTAGGGCTAAGCAAGACCCTTTCACTACTGAAAACCTGCCTTCTGGGGTGTTGTAACAGCCCTGAAGAAAGTGCTTTGGCATTTCCTCACAGGGGCCTGCAAGGCCCCTAAAGATGCCTTGTCTCAAACCTGTCACCTTAGAATCCAAGAACAACAGACAGACCCATAAACACCTTTATTATATAAGCAACAGTAAGTCTTATTATTTTTGCTGAGGAAGCTTCACCACCCTTCACCAGTAATTTACTCCACTTGATAACACAATCTGTTGGGGAGGACCTGGAGATAAGGGTCAACCTGGCCACAGCTTTATCATGACAGCTGCCTGATCAAGTGCTTGTTTTTTTTTTTTTTCCCCCAAGGGGCAGGGGTCCTTGTCTATCTGGACTCTATATAGAGCCTTGTTGCTGGACGCCAAGTTTTGACCTTCCTTCAGATTCAAACTGGGATCTTTGTCCTTATTTTTGACCACATCATCATTTTCACCACCTCCTAATTTTCACCACATCATCAGCCCTCCTAGGTCCTCTTTAGCTTGCTAGCAGCAGAAGCCTTCATAATCATATGAGCCAATTCCTCAAAATAAATTTCTCAATTATATAAACATCCTGTAGGTTTGTTTTCTCTAAAGAACCTAGATGTTAATACAGTGTGTGTGTACTTGGAATGGAATGATATTTTATATTTTTCCATTTAATATGTATTTTAACATATCATGGGCACATCCACATTAAAGAAATGCAGGCGTGAGGCTAAGGGTATGTGACCTGGTGCTAAAGATGTGTTTTGCATGGACCCTAGGTCCCAAAACAGAAGGCACCTATGTCATTGTTTAATACTTGCAAATATTGAGTTGGCTGTATCACAATTACCTAATAAATCATATATTAATTAAAAATAGATTCATTTCAAGTTTCTGCTCATCTAAACAAAACTATATGGGGCTGAAGGTAGCTCATTGGTATGGCGTATGCTAAGTATACTTCAGGCTTTAGGTCAATCCCTGGCCCCACGTCAAAAACCAAAAACATAGCAGTATGAAGTGATGAACAGCTTGTCTATCCTTCTTGATGGGTTTTAAAAAACTTTTTGTTTATCTGTTTGGGTTTTTCCACATAGCCCTGGCTGTCCTGAACTTCAGTGATCCTCCTGCCTCAGTCTCCCAAGTTCCCAGATTACGGGTGGCAAGAGCCACCAAGCCAGATAATTTTTTTCATTTTGTTTCTAATATTTTTGGATATACTGAAGTAATGACATATTATATATGTGTGTGTGTGTGTGTGTACTGAAGCAGCCAAAACCATAAATACAAAACTCTCAGATCAAATAACCACATACAGACTTCCAAAGGAAATCATTCTTCCCGTAGTCTCAAACTCTACATATGTCTCGACAAACTCCTATAGACTCAGAATGGCCATTCAGAAGGCATGGAGCTCCGCCTAGCCTCTTCCCCTTTCACTACCAATTACATGCTTACGCATACCCACCACAGCAAAAGAAGAGTGTGACAGATTCGGAACGAGAAATACAGTCAGCTTGATAGCCTCTGTCATGACTCGAGTGTTCTTTTGCCTGCGTCCCGTCCTTCCTCATCACCTAATGGTACTCAAGGCAAAGGGTTTGTTTAGAGCCTGAGTCACACTTCTTGGGCCTCTCAAATGATTGGGGAAAAAATTAAGGCCTGGGTAGAAAAAAAAATTCTATCTGGGATAGGGGCAGTGAGACAGACTCTCTGGGGGGAGATGTCAGGTTGGAGAAGGTAGGCCATGCTTCCGCCACCCTGTGCCCTTCTACCCATGCCCCCAATCCTTCTCCACTCCTGTGCCCCCTCCATCCATGGCCCCTCCACTTCAGGCCCCTTTTTCCCCTTAACCCCTCCACCTGGTGCCCAGAGATTGGTCCTCAAATGGCCCCTTCAGGGAGCTGTGTTTGCTCCTGCTGGAGAGAGAGCTCCAGAAGAGAAAATGAGCTTGTTGGCGGGGGCGGGGAGACTTATTTGCTTCACTTGCAGCTTAAGGTTTGCCGGGAGCAAAGATGGGGCCAACAGAAGAGAGCGACAGCAAGGAGTGACCTAGTTCCTGTTCCCAATGCCACCTCCACAAAGGAGAACTCACTGGTGGTGGGACACCAGACGACTTTGGAGAGGAATAAAGCAGACTTCTGGGGAGAGAAGGGATGTCTGCCAGATTGTGGGAGCTTCAGGGGAGGGCTCTTCACAGTGGGTTTCTCTAGACATGAGGGTATCATGGCTGAGAGTGAGACAGGCCCCACGGTCGTGTCAGCATCAGTTGTGACAGCCACTCAAACAGCCAGCTAGTCACCTCCACCCCCCCCCCTCACATCCAGGCCTCTGCTCTCAGTGTGGGGCGGAGAGGCCCATCTCACTCTCCTGAGACAGGCATCCTGCTAAAGAGGACCAAGCTACAGAAGAGATGTTGATGCTCCATTAACTAGGTTTGACCTTTAAATAAATCTCTAGAACTGGACGCTCAGTTGCTGACTTTGAAGAGACTTAATAGTGTGTCACTTAAGAAAGAACAGAAATCACAGGCTTTACTAGTTCTTCATTCAGAGAGAGGGGAACGCTTCCCAAACTGCAAAGGATGATGGGAGAGTTATGTACACAAAATACTTTGAGAAAACCCAGGTGGAAGTCACACAGTCTCAGGACTCACAGGCATTTCCATTCTGGCCTGGCCATAGCAACTCTAGCCCTCTACACATGACCAGCCATCTGAGTCCTGGGTCTCCACCCCCACGGTAAATGAAGTCCTTCAGAGCACAGCATGTGACTGCTCCTGGTGACACTGGAGCGGTAGGCAGTGGCCAGGCTGCTGTGGCAGGTCTATATTTGGACTGCCACTCACAGCAGCCCTGTTGCTATTTGTGGTGGGAGCTAGCTCATATTACCATCCAGCTTTGGCACCCCACTTCGCAGGGTGGACTAGGCAAGGCCAGCCTGCAGAGCAGCCAGAGGTCACCAGGAAGGGGAGCTGGCTGAACAGAGAAATCCAGTTTTCCAGCAGAAACCTAGGACCTCGGAGTTAAAGGACACGTGTATGGGCCCCTAGATGAGCAGGCGAGTTTGGGGGTAATTGTATTTTGTGTGTAAACCATATTATCTCGCTGGCTAACAGTCGCTGTGTTAGTGCACCGTCCTTCCCTTAGCTGGGAAGGGCTGTCAGAGGACGCTACGAAACTGCACCGGACGGGGCAATGTTTTCCGTGCCTTCTTGAGTCTGCAAGGATTCACATTGCCTGAAGATGGTAACAGGCATGAAATGTCTCTTAAAACCTGGGAGAAGCTGACGATTCTTGACCGGTGTCTGTCAGGTGTTTTAAGTGCGGGGCCCATTTACTAGAACGCTTTGGAGCTCTGGCTACGGTATTGTGTTGATAAATGCTTTTAAATTGGAATCTGCCAATGCCTTCTCAAAATTCGTTATCTCCACGCTTTGATTCAAACATTGATGTTTTCCGCGTGAGCTGTAGGCAGCCTGTCCTTGAGGAAAGCTTGGGGTCTGCGCTGGGCCTGGGAAACTGGTCAGAACCACCTCTGCCGTCCTATACAGCTAACATTGAAAGGCAAATTTTCTTTAGCTGCACTTGGGGGTTCGCTAGGAGCTGTGCAGACGAGCACTTATTACAGGCAGGATGATGTCCGTCCCGTTACGGTGTCACCCCTAGGGAATTATTTTCAGTAGATTCTCAGATGTGCCCAAGCTCCCTAGAAGGTTAAAAGAAAAAAAAAAAAAAAGCAAGGAGATTTTTTTTCCAATTAAATCATCTAAGACACATCTCACACATAAGGCTTAAATGAATGTCTTCTTTGTAAAGAAATTTTTCAGTGATATGTTGATGTGTGTGTGTGCGTGTGGGTATGTACATGAGTGCAGGCCAAAGGTGTCAGAACCTGGTCAAGCTGGAGTCCCAAGCAGTGAGAGCAGCCTGGTGTGTGTGGCAGGAATCAAACTTGGATCCTCTGCAAGATCAGCAAGCATGATTAAGAGCTGAGCCAGCGCTGCAGCCCACGTGCAGAGAGAGGAAGAGTCTCCAATATTTCGTGCAGTGTAGACTGTTTATTGGTTTATTGCTTCACTGCCCTATTTCAGGCATTATAAAATGGTAATTTGTGGTCAGTGCCCCCCGTTCTGACTCCATCAAGAGACTTAAGAAGCGCAGGAGCCGAGGGGACCTGTGTGCTGGGGGTTGTGCTGAGGGATTCGTGCTTCACTGCTGAGCACGCAGACCAGGTGACATTCACACTCAGAGAGCAGATGCTGGCGAGGAAGGTTGCGCTCTTATTAGCTTGTGAGTTATGGAATGCCGGTCTTGTTGGAATCTTCTCCACACCTCGATGTGGTACTTTGAGCTCTATCTTCGAGTTGCAAGTGTTTCTGGTCAAGACCTCTGAATAATACAGAATTCTCTCTCCCTCTCCCTCTCCCTCTCCCCCCCCCTCTCTCTCTCACACACACACACACACAAATGGAGGTGCAAGGTTTATTTTTAGGGAGCTTATCCTCCATGCATGGGAAGCCTAAGGTAGGCTGTCAGCTCTCACTGGACTGGTGGCTAGCACACAACGCGATGCAGAGGAGCCCAGACATAAAAAAGCCCCTTGTCCTCCCCCAAACTCAGTCTTGACATATTAAAATCTAGAAATTGAATTAGAGGCCCTCCAACCCTAGAAGAGCACATCTCTGCCTAGGCCACTGGGACATTCTTGTGAGGTTAATGGTGATCTCATTAGGTAACGTCTCTAGCTGAACATGCGGGTACTCAGCCTCCTCCAATCAGTGGCTCTCACGGGGCAAACGTGCAGTCAGCAGCTGACTCCACACTGCTGTGGCCTTTCAGTCCCCATCCCTGGTCCTCACTCTCCAAGGAGTCCAGGTCGGAGGCTTCTGAATTGGCCAAGGTGGGAGATGCTGGTCCAAATAATATTAATACAAGAACAAAAGCATTGGATGTTTGTAGACAGCTTAATTTGAGCAAAGCAATGTAAACAACCGTTCACATACTTACATTATTGCATCGAATGCCAACCTTCTGAGGTAGATCACTAATTAACCAGCCTGGCTTACAGCCATGTATTATAGTCCGTGAAAGGGAGGTCTAGAGAGGTAGTTTTGCAATGTCACACAGTTAGAGTGTCTCAGAGACAGAATCTAGAGAGCAGTGGCCTTGGGAAAGGGAGAAGGGGTGTGTGTGTGTGTGTGTGTGTGTGTGTGTGTGTGTGTGAGAGAGAGAGAGAGAGAGAGAGAGAGAGAGAGATATGGCATGTTCTGCTTTTAAAACCTGCCTGGCGCATGTGCACAGAGGGTTGACATGGCTATGTCATACGCAGATGATGGGGCTCATGCATGCACGCAAGGGCTTAGCTGAGTCATATGTAGATGTAACCATTCATGCGCGCACGTGAGTCATTCGTGGGCCATTAGATACTTCTGCCTGAGGGCTTGTCTGTACCTGCACGACTCCTAGAACCCGGAAGTATCGGTCTTATGTGGCTGAAATCATTACAGCTGGTCTTCATGAAGGATGAGGCAGGCACTGGCTGGGTAGGGGAGGTAGGTGGCTGAGGAGAGGCAGAGAAGGAAGAAGGAAGCTCTCAACAGGAAGACCCTGGGTGAGATTTAACCGGGAGATACTGAAAGGGGTCAAAGGAGCATAGAAGTCTGCTAGCAAAGGTGTGTGCTGTCACTTGAGAGTGAAACACTAGGAGATGGGGACTGCGTCAGGGCCCAGAAGAGCTGAGACCGGCCTGTGACTGAGCCTTCAAGATGGCTGCCTACACATCTAAGTGCCTATGTCAGGCAGATACCCAGCACCACAGTCAGAAGACTGGAGAAAAGATGGCTTCGAAGAAAAATTCTGCCTACAGAGCAACACTAAGGTGTGATATTGGAGCCTCAGGGAGAAACTGTGATTTTAGTCTATGGGACTTAAATCTTAAGGGGAGAAGAGACCTGGGGTACCAGGAGAGAGTGAAGGAAGCATCTCTGAGAAGTCAGGCCCCAGCCTCAGATGGCGTGATAATCGCTTGATTGTCTGGGTCATCTCAAGAGCAGGACCGGTGTCTCGTGCCTTGTGTCTAGCACCTGGTGGTGTCCTGTTCTGTGGCATCCACACTTTGCCAGCCCCAGGCACAGCCAGTGCCGAAGCAATGGATGAGACCCCCAACACTATAGTCCAGGCACACGGTGATACCTGCAGGGCTGGCAAAGAGTCCCAGGATCCCCCTGAGAGTGAGGACTTCCCGGTCATCCTCCACTGCCCTGAAAGCCAGGGGCCCAGGTGGGGTGACTACAGGCTAACCTCGACTTGCTGCTGCTGCTGCTGCTGTTGTCTGAGATGTGGCCCCTGGAGCAGGGCTCGGTGCTCATCCTCTCGGGGGTTCATTTTCAGATGACAGGCCCTCTTCTTCATTCTCCCCTGTCCCCATGAATCAGAGCTCACAGCAAGTATTCAACTAGAAATTATGTTGGTAACTTGATTCAGTAGAAGAACGAGCTTACTATTTAGAGACTTGTGATTATAAGAAAATTAGGTCCCAAATCCTATGTGCATATCTTTTGGAGACAGTATCATAGATGATCAACAAATGACATTTCTAACATAAAACATGCTTTGACATACCAAGTCTTTGAGAGATCAGCTGCACCTCCAGGCTGCCGTGCACCTCACCTGTGTCTAAGTCCATTTCTCCCTTCAGTGGTTTCCAAGGCCAAAACTGCCTCCAAGACTTGGAAACTTAACCTCAGTCCCCCTCACCACAATCCATCCTGGCTCAGTTTACTCCTCATTGTAGTGGAGGATTCTCAACAGAACCACTCAGTCTTTTCTAAGAGGCTGTGAGTTGTTTTCTCAGTCCTGCATGTCTGAATGCTCAGCTAACCAGACGTTCCTACTGCAGGAAAATAAGGTCTCACTAATACTTGACATTACAAATTTTGGCAAATAATTTAAAAATAAAATGGAAACATGTGGGGGTGGGTGGGTGTTTATAAGAGCAAGGGCACACATAGGCATGAGTGTGTAAGGCCAGATGTTGGTGTCAGGTTCCTTCATTGATTGCTTCCCCCTCATTTTTTGAGACAAAGCCTGTCACCGAAGCTGGCGCTCATCAACTGGGTCAGGCTGGCTGATGACTGAGCTCCAGAGATCCGCCCGTCTCTGTCCCTTTGCCACCCCCCAGTGCTGGGTTACAGAGACTTGTAACTGCTTCCGGTTCTTACCTGACCTGAATGAGCTCCAGTCCCCGTGCTCCTGTGGCAGGCGCTTTACTCACCGGGCCATCTCTCCAGCCCCAAAATGCATCTTTTAATGAGCGAGTGGGACTTGATTTGTTTTTTTAAAAAAACTCAAACCCAAAGTTGAAAATACCACCTTCTAGAATGTAACAGGAATGAGAGTTTGTATTTTTTTACATCTTGTCCATGCAAGCACAGAGTGATCATACATCTGCGTAAGTAGATAGGAAGGGAAGCAATTTATAATAATGCCATTCCATTCTGCCTGCTCTTTCTGAAATGTATGCCAAAATTATATAATGACCTACCATGAACATTTGTCTTAAATAACGTATCAGCTGACAACTTAATTAGATCCTCTTGCAATTTTGTTGGAAGCAGAGAGCTGGAAAGCACTTACCTTGAAAAAAAAATGTTCTTACCCATTCATTAATGTCACTCACTCTCAGCATCGACACCGAGACTTGAGACTATCCTTTCATCTAGTCTCCTGGAGGTCTTACCAAATTCCCAAGCGATGAAAGCCTACTGCACAACGGAATAATCAGAATGAACAGGAAAGATAGTTTTGCTTTTATAATAAAGAAGAGAAGCACTGTTGAGAAAAGAGAACCTCAGATGCTGCCTCATCCCCGGGCAAAGCAGCTCCGAGAAAGACTAAGTACAAACCTGAGGATCTGAAAGCTGGTAACTCCTCAGTGTCCGTGCCCACATTCCCCATGGAAGGCCCCATCCATATACACGCGCCATGGCATAAAGATCGGTATTATCAATACTGTCTTTTGAAGGAGCCTGAACATGAACAAAAGAGGGGGAAATGATAGCAGAACGGAAAGAAGGTTATTTTGAGGCTGGTATCATGCATACTATTATTTTATAACAAATTATTCTACAGCTTATAACAAATTATTCTACAGCTTGATTACTTAAAATAATCAGTATTTATCATCTTAGCTGGTTTGTGAGGGCTGAGGATTGAGACAAGGTCTTCATGGTGATTCTGGTTCAGGGTGGTGCTCCCCACTGCCTTTCTGCAACAGGGTCTCAACTCCCTATGCTTGCTAGCCAGCCTTGGCTCACTGGTGCCTCGTGGGTTTTTCGTGATTGTTGAGCAATTGTGAGTCACCGCCAGCCCAGACACTTTGGTGAACTAGTTTGCCATGATGTGGGCTGGGACTATAACTCCTTCAATGCCTTCTTGGGAACTGACGTTCATCTCTTCTGTGTCCTAGGACTCAGAATATTCACTGACCGCCTGAGAAGGACTGTTCTGTACCAATGGAGGAAGACGCAGGGGAGGAGCTGGGGCTGGGCAGGTCAAGGGCCCCCACAGACTTCCACTTCTATCACATGGATCTGTATGACTCTGAGGACAGACTGCAGCTCTTCCCAGGAGAAAGCAGCAGAATCAGGAGCGAAGTAAACCAGGCTGAACTGACCAGTGAGCCGAGAGGGGCAGGGGACAGCAAGAGTCTCCCGAAGGAAGTGGATGAGCTCGTCCACTTATATGGACTTGAAGATGACCATGAGTTAGGGGATGAGTTTGTTGATGAGCACAGATTAGGGACTCTGGAGTATCCTCCTTATGGCCCGAGGAGGAGAGACCCAGCCAGGGAGCAGAGAGACTGGGGGCTTAGCGAGGCAGCTGAGGCCGAGGACCTGGGCTATGGCCTTCCCGGTCAGTGCCAAGACCTCCGGGAAGCCTACAGGTACACGCACGGCCGTGCCAGCGAGGAGTATGAATGCTACGTCATCCCAGAGGAGGAGGATGAAGAAGAAGAACCTGCTGATGTCTTCTGTGCCACCTGCAAGACGCCAGTAAGAACTGCTGAGAAGGATGCGGAGGCACACGAGGGACATGAAGTCATGCCACTCAACAAAGCGCTGGAAAGCGCCAAGGTAGCAGGGCTCCTTCCCTCTTTGTCTGCAGAGGGTGTGTGTGTCTCAGGGAGGCGGGCAGGGAATGCATCCTACATGCCTCTCCAGGCATGGAATGGGGGGATGGAAAGATGGCTCAGCGGTTAGGAGCACTGGCTCCCCTTGTAGAGGACATGGGTTCAATTCCCAGCATCCACACGGTAGCTCACAACCACCTATAACTGTGGTCCCAGGGGATCTGATGGCCTCTTCTGGCCTCTGTGGCTGCTACACACACACACACACACACACACACACACACACACACACACACACACCGTACAGACATACATGCAGACAAGCACCCATATGCATATTTTTAATTTAAAGACGTTACAGCAAGCATAACATTAATGCCTTGTTTGTTCTGCTCCACAGGATGAAATTCACAAAAACATGTGCAGATTGGAGCAGCAGATTATCGAGATGGAAAATTTCGCTAGCCACCTGGAGGAGGTGTTCATCACAGTGGAGGTGAGGACATCCTTGGGGACTTCGTCACACCTGTAGCTTCTGCCTATGGCCACATCAAGCAGGCAGTCCTAGCGAGCTCCGGAAGCTATCTCTTAGAATGTGAGGGGTTACCCATAGGCCTCCCACCAGCCCTGGGCAGCCACAGAAGTGATGGTCACTTGTCTGCATCCCCTACTACGTCCTCTGTGTCCTCTAGGTGGGGGAGGCTGGTGTGTGTGTATCTCCAGGCCTACTGCGTGGGATATTTAAAGCAAGTGTGTTATACATGCTTATTGCATAGATAGATAAAGCAGAAAATTTCCAATCAAAGTGCCAATTGCACAGGGTTTAGATTTTTTTTATTCTAACAATGATGACTCCACGGTAACACATCCAGATGGTGAATTGAACAGTTTTTTTGTCCTTGGAGTTGGGATGGGGTGGGGGATGGTATGTGTGTGTTCGTGTGCACCTGTGTATACAAGTGTACATGTACATGTATGTTCATACATGTGAGGGTCAGAGGTCAAGTTTGGGTTCTTCCTCGGTCACTGTACCTTATTTCTGAGACTGGGTCTATGACTGAAATTGGATCTCTCTAATTTGGCTGACCAGCAAGACCTGGAGATTCCCCTGTCTCAGCGGCCCTCAGTGTTGGGATTACATAGGATCACTGCTGCATCTGGTTTTTATATAGGCTCTGGAGATCCAGACTCAGGCCTCCATGCCCACTTGGCAAGCACTTTACCAACTGAGCTGCTTCCCCAGGCCCCTGCCCTTGGTGGGCTTTGTGTTTGGTTGGTTGGTTTTGTCCTCTTCTTTCTTTTCCTGCTCTTGGGCCCAGCCCGAGATTCCCAAGGGTACCATCTGATGGCCTGCTGTATCATCAGACATGGCGGGACATGCTGTTGCCTTCATCTCTGGAGTTTTTCAATTTAGGTCTTTAGGGTGGCGTCATGTCACCATATTCAGTCTGGGGTGAAAATACTCATTGTACATTTTGTATTACATCAGGAATTCTCACACGTTTATGATGTGTGTTGAGAATATTCCCCCAACTCCACTCCCCTTTTATCCTCCCTGTTCCTCTCCCCCTTAATGTTCTCTGTTCCCCAGACACTTCCATGCCATATATACATACATGATTTTATGAATCTATGTAAGATATAGGAACCACGAATGGGAGAGAATGTATATTTGTCTTCTGAGCCTAGCTTAATTCACTTAATTGGATTCTCTCCACTGGCATCTATTTTCCTATAAACAATTCTATTGTATATATGGTCTACAGAGTGAGTTCCAGGACAGCCAGGGCTATGTAGAGACCCCGTCTCAAAGAAACAAAAAACCAAAAGGTTGACAACAGGGCACATGAGTGAGTACTCAGGAGCCCTGATTATTGTTTGGGGGTTCCCTTTATGGGGCTCAAGAAGAGGAGTCTGGGCATTAGGGCTATAATTTGGGCAATTCGCTATTTCCACCAACAGGCTTAGATTACATGAACCCTTGCTTGCTGCCCATACCCCTGCCCATGATGCATCTGACTTTAATCATTATGCACGCCCAATTATGCGAAGCATAAGATGGTAATACAGCACTCTCTCCTCTCTGAAAGTTCACTTTGAGGACACAGTCTGACTTTATATGCTTGCACCCAAATCCCGTCTAGGCCAGATCAGCCCACTACCCATAGTCCTAGATTGTGTTCCAGGATGTGTTTGCAGGGAAATGGGGTGTTATCAAGGACTGCAGAGAAGAGTAACTATCTCCATTGTTTAGAGCATGTATACATCAGTTCTATGCAAACAGGGGTCCTAGATTGCTAACAGGCTGCTAGGTGCATTGTTTGGAGTCTAGGAGTGTGCAGAGCCCAAGACAAGTGGAGCCCAGGGTTGCTAAGTTATTCCCCGTGTCTGCATTGCCTCAAAAGGGACTTCTCATCATTCAGTGCCAGCTCTCTTCCTGTCCTGAAATGGGAAGAATGCAGGTGCTTCATCCATGGACCAAGATTATTGGGCCGGAAGCTGTTGGGCACACTCTAGATCTCCACAGAGCAAGTGTAAATCCTCTGTCCTGGCCAGCTTTAGTTAACCACTGCAAGACATTCATTCTTCACCCTCAGCCTTAAAGGGGAGAGAGCTGTCCCACTATTCCTGTGGAAGGAGCGGGGAGGATGGGGGCTCTCCTTCCAAACACAGGTGGTAGGAGGAGAGACAGGAATGAGACAGTCAGGGCAGGCTTGCTGTGCTAGGACTGGAGAGATGACTATAGGGTTAACAACACTGTTACTCTTCTAGAGGACCTGAGATTGGTTACCAGGTGGCTCACAATAGCCTGTAATTCTAGGTCTGGGCATCCAATGCCCCCTTCTGGCCTCTGTGGGCACTACACACATGTGGTGTGCGGACACACATGCAGGCAAAACACCAAACTTTTTTTTTTTTGGATTTTCGAGACAGGGTTTCTCCGTAGCTTTTGGTTCCTGTCCTGGAACTAGCTCTTGTAGACCAGGCTGGTCTCGAACTCACAGAGATCCACCTGCCTCTGCCTCCTGAGTGCTGGGATTAAAGGCATGCGCCACCACCACCCGGCTGACACCAAACTTTTTAAAGTTCCTTACACTCTATTCTGTCACCATGCCATATGTCACTCTCACATCCAAGTATCTTCATCTCCAGCGAGGATACTGGGGGCCTCCTGCTATCTCCTCCAGAGTCATCTACTGCTTGACCCTCTCACCATTCTGACTGAGTCTTAGCACACAGTAGGTGCTTGTAACAGCTCTGAGAGACATCCTTGTAATTGCATGAAGGTAGCAACAGTCAAAGACCACTGAACTCCTGTTTACTTCCAGGGTGAGGAAAGGATACTGGAAATCTGTCTCCTCTACTCAGTGTTTCCCAGTCTCTGAGCCTCCAGTTTAAATACTGTAGGTATCAGCCAGGTGTGTTGATGCATGTCTGCGATCCCAGCACTTGCAAAGCTAAGGCAAGAGGATTGTTGTGAATTCCAGGCCAGCCTGGCCTGCACAGTGGGTGCCATACAGGGACACCTAATAGGATGCTATGTCAAGAAAACCAACACATTCATAAATGCCACACATGTGAGAGTCGTTGTCTACATCCTTCTTCCAGCATTTCCTCCTTCACCAGGCAGTGCATTTGCTACAACCTTTCCTTCTCTGCTGTCCTAATCTCTCCTCGCTGCCATGAACAGAGTTGGCACACTCCCGGTGTCCATCCACGTCTCCGTTAGTGAGGGCAGATATCGTGAGATGTGAGAACACAGGGGGGAATGGCAGGCGGACCTCTCCCAGGGCAAACACTTCTGCCTCCAAGTCAAAGCTCCCAGCAACAAGCTGATTAACCATTGATGAGCTGCAAGGCTGGTTGCTATGGTAATAGGAGGTAGCTGAAACAGGGTGAAGTTTACAACATGGTGCCAGGAAAGGTAGCAGCACTTTCTGGTGAGGCCATTCAGGGCTGGGGAGCACAGATCGCACTTGGTGAAGTCAAGGACCTGAGTTTGACCCCGAGAACCTACAGAAAAGCTGGGTGTGGTGACACATGCTTGTAATCCCAGTGCTGGGGGGCAGAGAGAAGAAGATCTCTGGGGCACACTGGCCAGTCAGCCTAACCTAATTGGCACACTCCCTGCCAGTGAGAGACTCTGGATGACACCGGAGGTTATCCTCTGACTTCCACGTGCACAAACATGTATGTACACACACCTGTTCACATGCATTAACTAAATAAGTAATTAAAGACCATTTTGGGGGACGTCAGAAGGAATCTCCTCTGTTTTCACGTCCCCAGCATCCACTCCAGCATCTTGCTAAGAGATGGGATAAAATGAAGGGGTGAAAACAGCTCGGGGTAGACAGAACTTCAGGACCCCAGTGACTCAAGCCAACACAGCACACGTGCTAAAATGATGCCTGAGGTCAACTGTCTTGCAGGAGAATTTTGGAAGACAAGAGCAAAACTTTGAGTCACATTACAATGAGATCTTGGAAACCCTCGCTCAAAAGTATGAAGAAAAAATTCAAGCCCTAGGGGAGAAAAAGAAAGAGAAGCTGGAGGCTTTATACGGACAGCTGGTCACCTGTGGAGAAAACCTGGATGCCTGTAGAGAGTTGATGGAAACCATAGAGGAGATGTGTCACCAAGAGAAGGTGGAGTTCCTAAAGGTCCGTGCTGAAACAGAAAGGGAAGGAACAGAACCCTGGGATGGAATCCCAGGTCTAGCCTAGAGTAGGCTAGCCCACCCGTGCTGAAACAGAAAGGAAAGGGACAGAACCCTGGGATGGAATCCCAGGTCTAGCCTAGAGTAGGCTAGCCCCCCCCCCCGTTTCCTCCCAGAGGTCCACATCTATCTTATGTTCGTGGGTGAGGCTGTCCCCCCATCTCTCCATATCACTTCATTGGTGGCCAAGCAGGCAGAGATACCTGGCCCTTCCCTTCCCTCACTCCCCAGCTAACTCCAAGCCTTGTCCCTCTGTCCCTTGCTCGTGGACGTGGGCAAAGGCAGTGCCATGAGAGTTTCTTGGTTGCCTTTGCGGCTTCTCTTGGGTCTCTGGGAGAAAGTTGGTCCAGGTTAATAAGGTACCTTAAATTGGCCTGTGCCAAGGATGGCAGTTGTAAATCTTGCTTTGTAACTTCATACATATGCCAAAATACAAAATATCCACGCCTTAATTATATCCAGATCATATTAAATCTGGCCCAAACCCCTTGTAACGAAGTTATGAGAATATCAACCGCATTTAGAGATCTTGCAAGGTCCCATGGGACTATGGGGCAGATGTGGTTTCACAAAGAGGTCCTCAGGGTCATCTTAGCTGCCAAGTATGACCCCCTCGTTGTCCAAGCTCACAGCTACTCCTCAAAGCCAAACCTCCTTTCAGCCTGATCATGGTAAGAGACCCCCAAATAAAGGTGGACAGCAATCCGGCAAGTGCCGGAGAGGACCCAGTGCTCAACCTCTTGAGTCCGTGGTCCCACGGTGCCACTGCATCTCACATACAGATGTAGAAAACATGCATTATCTATGATGATGGAAACCTGTGATGGGTCCTACTGCAGAGGAACCATTAAGTAAACAATAGCGTTTCTAGGCAACGATCCCTTGCAGTTCTTTGTAGTCAGTGGTCCAGAGGACCCTGTGTGACCCAGGAGGTGCAGGGGTGTTGAAGGAAATGCACAAGGATGGTGGGTTTGTTAGGGTGATTCCCCCTTTTTGTAATTTCCAACTTTAAAAAATATATATATTATTATATTGCTGAGAAAAAATATTTCCTAAACCGGTTTAATATTTTTTCTTTTTCAGGATGCAGTGGCTATGACTGACAGGTAATAGTTTGTCCTGACCTGGTTTCTGTTTCCACTCCTTTCCCTGCTAGACTCAGTTCCACTGGGTTATCGGCTTCCCTCTTCAGCTCCGGTGACCCTATAAATAAATCACTACCAACTTGGGAATGGCAGAGTGGGGACAGTAGGGCCCTTTGGAGTTGAATCTTAGAATCTCTGGGCTGGAAGGGAACGTGTGTGGTGAGGCCCACTCAGCAAGCCTGTGCTCGGGTCCCCTCACACACAGACACACACACACAGACACACACACACACACACACACACACACACACACACACACACATGGGAACTTTGTTTCACTGGGAGAAACTGAGGACTGGGAACATGCCCCCAGCTCTCCTCCTGCCTTGGTCATGCTGTGGAGGAAAACACGCACGTTTTCAAGTCCGACACAGCGGAGCAGAAACACTGCTTCCACAGTGACTGTGGACAGCTCCAAAGCAATGCCCCGCCTTCTCTGTTTATAAACAGGGCCGGCTCGGTGCAAACTTAGTAAGACAGTGTCTGGAAGCAGCATGGGAAGTTAATAGAGCCAGGGCCTATATACATTTGTTTTGGCAAAAATGGAGCTGGATTTCAAATTTCACCTTCACCACTTAGAAGCCTCGCGTCTGCCGGGAAGCAGACGCAGGACTATCCATCTAGAGTCTCTGGAGCAGCAACGTGAGGGTCCCTGGCCATGGGGAGTGTGAGGCTGCAGAGTAGAACCCCGTACCTGTGGGGACGGGGGGCGGGGGTGATGTAGGAGTAGATGTGGATCCGCATCCTGCTGAAGGATGGACTTCCCCTCATTCTTAGGCCCAACCCTTCCCCCTGTCCCTGGGAAGGGTTAGACCAATGTCTCTCAACTGTGGATCCCAATCTCTTTGGGGAGGGGTCAAACAGCCTTTTCACAGGGGTCTCCTGAGACCATGGAAAACACAGATATTTACACTACAATCTGTAACAGTAGCAAAAATACAGTTATGAGGTAGCAACAAAATAATTCTATGGCCGGGAGTCACCACAGCATGAGAACTGTATTAAAGGGTCGCAGCGTTGGGAAGGTCGAGGACCACTGGCCTAGACAGTGATGGGTGGTTTGGATAGGAAGGGTTCTCTAACAGGCTCATGGGTCGAAGGCTTTGTTCTCAGAGCAACTGTGTTCAGAAGTTAGGGTTCTGGGGGAAAGGACTGGATGAGTAGAGCCCCGATCTCATGACTGGGGATCCTTTGATGGGTTTATAATTCTGTGGTACAGTGAGGAGTTGGGGCCTAGCGGAAGGAAGTGGTCACTGGTCACTAGAGGTTTGCCTTTGAAGTGCAGCCTTGTCCCTGGCCCCTCTTTCTTGCCTCTTTCTGCTTCCTGGCTGCCCACAAGAAGCAGCTTTCCTCCATTTTGCCCCTCCCCCCACCATGCTTCCACACAGGGCCCAGGAACAATGGAGCCCCTGACTGTGAACTTAAACCAAGGGCCAAAGTAAACATTGCCTCCCTTCCAGTGCTTATCTCTGTGATTTGTCAAAGTCACAAGATTATGATGAGGTGACCTCCAGGTCCATCATCAAATCAGATAGCAGAATCCAGAAGCACGGGAAGAAACGCAAGTTTGGCAAAGGGGCCCCCATTTCCTCCTAGAGACCTAGCACTATAGATAGCCCCTAAGAAGAAAGCCCCTCCATCTTTCTGTGGACTTGTGTTGTCTTTTAAAAACACGCATGAGCCGGGCGGTGGTGGCGCACGCCTTTAATCCCAGCACTCGGGAGGCAGAGGCAGGCGGATCTCTGTGAGTTCGAGACCAGTCTGGTCTACAGAGCTAGTTCCAGGACAGGCTCCAAAGCCACAGAGAAACCCTGTCTCGAAAAACCAAAAAAAAAAAAAAAAACACGCATGAGTGTTTTGTCTGCATGGTCTGTGGACTGTGTGTATATCTGGTGCCCACAGAGGCCAGATGAGGGTGTCACATCCCCTGGGACCGGGTTACAGAGGATTGTGAGCTTCCACTACAGTACTGGCAATTGAACCTAGATCCTCTGGAAGAGCAGCCAGTGCTCTTAACTGCTGAGCCAACTCCCTAGGCCCTGGCCATGTCTTTTTTTATACCTCCAGACTAGGGAAATTCCTGAAAACCAAAACAGACGTGGAGCTCTCTGCACAGCCTGAGTTTGAAGACCAGACCTTGGATTTCTCTGATGTAGAGCAGCTGATGGACTCCATCAACACCANGAGAGAGAGAGAGAGAGAGAGAGAGAGAGAGAGAGAGAGAGAGAGAGAGAGAGAACATGAATGGACCTAAGTCTCTCGCTGACCCTGGAGCTCCCAGGTTGTGTGGGCTGTCTGGCCCGTCTGCTGCAGGAATTCTATCTCCAAGGTGTACATAACCGCACCTGGCTCTTTACTTGGACACTGGGGCTCCTAACTTGGGTCCTCAGGCTTGTTTGGTAAGCACTTTGCTGACTGGGCCACCTCCACAGACATGCATGCAGACAAAACACCCATACACATAAACTTGTACAATACAATAGAAGGTGGCTACTCCCCACACCTGCACATATGGCTCCTCAATGTTGCTTTCTCTCTTTTTAATTTTTAGCTCCCTCTGCCCCAGTGATAAATCCTCAGGCCCCCAACTCGGCCACAGGGTCCTCCGTCCGTGTGTGCTGGAGCTTATACTCCGATGACACCGTGGAGAGCTATCAGCTGTCCTACAGACCAGTGCGGGACAGCTCACCTGGCAAGGACCAAGCAGGTAAGGTTTAGACTCTGAAAGAACTCCTGCTGACCAGAATGCTTCTAGGAATGGCCTCTTGTTCTGGGCAGCTCTGGGGCTATCTTCACCCCCAGGGAAATGACTTGTGTGGCACTAGGACTGGGGCCACCCTTCCCCCACTAATGCATCAGCCTGTCTCCTGGGAGCAGTGTATTTGCATTAGCCATCAGTTACTTTTGTGGTTGCTGTGAAGGAGAAACAGCTTTAGGAGGGGAGGGTTATTTTGGCTCACAGTTGAACCGTCCAGGCCAGCACCAAGGGAGAACATAGTAGCAGGTGCACAGCAGCTGGTTACATTGTATCCACAGTCAAGAAACAGCAATGCATGCTGGTGTTCTACTGGGTTTCTCCTTTATATTCAGTCTGGGACCTCAACCCACAGAATGATGGCACACATTCAAGGTGGGTCACCCCTCCTCAGCTAAACCTCTTTGGAAATGCCTTCATAGATACCCAGAGGCCTGTCTCCTTGGTGATTCAAAATCTCATCAAGTTGAAATTAAGATTAATCATCATAGTCAGCTTGCTATTACCATAGCAACTATCAAAGATAAATCTACTTTTAAAGAAGAAACCTTAGTAGCCCAAAGTTTTCATCTTTAATGACACAGCACATTACAATAAAAGGTGCAGAGAAGCTGCTCACCTGGTAGCATCCATGGGGCCAAGAGAAACAGGGAGGGACTGGGGGTACCAATATCCGTTTCAGAGTCATGTCCCCAATGATCTAACCTCCTCCCATGAGCCTACCTCCTGAAGTTTTCACCACCTCCTTGGGTTAGGGGCAACCTCAACACACAACTGTTGAGGGCGACTTCTTTAAACCATAACAAGAAGGGGAGATCAGAGTGCAGAAAAACTACCTCCCAAGCCCCACAAACCTGAAGTAATGAGGGTCTGGTCATACTGATAGGTCCGTCCAGTATGAGCCGGGTTAGAATGAGATTGCCGGACCTGGAGATTTCTATTTAATAGATGCAGATGGTGGAGGCTCAGAGAGAAATGAGCTGTCTGTGGGTCACAGTGAGTTGTGGAGGAACCAGGATGACAACCAGGTCTGTGGGCAGACTCTCTGCCCAGAGCATTGAACACTGTTCCAGGCTGGAGGTTCTGTGTAAGGGAGGTGAGGGTAGCATCTGTGCCCAGGGGCCAGGAAGGAGACTTTTAAAGACTCTTTTTTTATTATTTGAAAGTTTCATACATTTATACAATGTATATTGATCATATCTGTCTACCACTACCACCGTCTAGTTCTTCCTAGTTCCCCCACCCCATCTCTTTCCCATGCTTTCTCTTCATGCCTTCTTTTTATTTTGGTTTTTGTTCCTAGTAACTCCAGTTCCAACTATTGCTGCCCAGATGCACATGAGCACATGGCCTTCCACTGGGGCATGAGCAGCCTACAGTGGCCACATCCGCAAAGAAGAGAGACCCTCCCTCACTCACATGCCATCCACTGCCAGTAGTTCCTCCGCTCAGTGGGGTCTCCAGGGCCCTCCCCTGCCCACGCTGGAAACTTGACTGGCTTGATGTCGTGGGGGAGCCACCACTGCTGCCAGTTGATGTGTGCGCTGGCCACACCATGTCTAGACACCACATCATGTCTAGATGCCACGTCATGATGTCTAGATGCCACATCATATCTAGACACCACATCATGTCTAGACGCCACATCATGTCTAGACGTCACATCAAGTCTAGACGCCACATCAAGTCTAGACGCCACATCAAGTCTAGACGTCACATCATGTCTAGATGCCACTTCAAGTCTAGATGTTCGCATTTCACAGCTCTCCTCCCATGTGCTCCCTTCATTCTTTCTGAGCACTCTTCTCTGAACCTCCCTGAGCCATGGGTGGTGGGACCTTGACATAGACCACCCATTCACAGCTAACCACTCAGGGTCATTTATACTTGGCACTTTGACCAGTATTGAATCTCTGTATAAACCATTACCCGCTGCATAAAGAAACTTTTCTGGCCAAGGCTGAGAACAACACAGATCTATGGATGCGATCATAAATGTTTATAGAGTGCAGTTTGGAAACATGGCCACTTATCAAACAGTAGTCGGTTCCCCACTAGGGCCTATGATCTCCCAGTCGTGGACTTCTAACCAGGTTTACAGTGCCAGGCATCAAATCATTCCTGTGGAGCAGACCTCATAACCAATTAGAACGTGGTTTGTTACCCTTGTAACTACCAGGCTACTATTGCACCAGCGAGCAGATTTGCCACCAGCAACTCAGGGATGCAGCATGAACGGTCCAGAGCTGGGAAAGATCACTGATGCCTTTTTCCCACGGTCAGGGATGCAGCATGAACGGTCCAGTGTGGGACAGATCACTGATGCCTTTTTCCCACAGGAGCCTGCAGAGTGCCCACTGGCACTGTGAGGGCTATCCAGCAGGAAGGATCTTAGTTCCAATCTGATCTTTCTATGCTCTGTGAGCGGGTCATGTGTTGTTTTCAGCAAGAGGGTGTTACCATCTAGTTCTGATGGGCAGCCAGCAGCGGTGGCAAGGGCCTGTATTGTTTAGTGCGGTCACGCCTGCCTGCTTCTGAGCCTCCTACCACAAACAACGCTTATCCCCCTGAAACCATAAGCCCCAATACACTCTGCCAGGAGCCACTTTAGTCACACTGCTTTATCGTAGCCAACACAGCAGCCGATTCCTAAAACTGATTTTCATTGATAACTCTGGCTTCTGAGAGCAGATTTATCCACGCATGCAGGGTATTCGGTTTTGTCCGTTTTTAAATTATTATTAGTTTAGCAAGTAACAGATTTCTTTAACACTTTTTCATACCTTTCAATTGGTTAGATTTCAGAGAGAAGGTCTAAGTAACCCAGAGTGGCCTTGAACTCACAGCTATTCTCCAGCCTCAGCCTCCTTGGTACTAGGATTACTAATGTGCACCACCATGCATTAGCTTTCTGCCAGTTAATTTTTGCCCTGTGGCAATTCTCCTGCCTTCGAATTTAGTGACTTAAAATAACACACATTTATTGTCTTACAGTTTTATGGGTTGGTTATTGTCTCAGGCAATTCAGGTCTGAGATCCCCTTGAGTGCGCTCTGATGGTCCAAGGTGGCCTTACTCATTATGATGGTTTATCTCCTTCGTCAGTTTGAAGGATTTAAAATCACCATGGAAACACATCTGTGGGCGTGTCTGTGGAGGTGTTTCCAGAAAGGTTTAATAGAGCAGGCTTGCCGGGCGGTGGTGGTGCATGCCTTTAATCCCAGCACTTGGGAGGCAGAGGCAGGCAGATCTCTGTGAGTTCGAGACCAGCCTGGTCTACAAGAGCTAGTTCCAGGACAGGCTCCTAAACCACAGAGAAACCCTGTCTCGAAAAACCAAAAAAAAAAAAAAAAAAAAAAAAAGAGCAGGCTTGACCCACCTGGTGTCTCAGAGGGATTCACACAGGGAAAGCGCAGTCAGCAGAGATCAGCTCTGCTTCCTGAGAGTAAGGACTCCTTGTAAGCGGCTGCAGTAGCCGCCTTGCCTTCCCTGCCCTGAGGCAGGAATCCTTCCTTCCTCAAATTGCCTCTTAGCAGGTAAAAGTAATTAAAGTCTTCTCCTCTGGCCTTAGCTGGGCCAGCTGGTGCAAGGGTCAGGGGGAGGGGCTTCCTCCCCAGGCCTTGAACTCTCTCTCCAAAGGGTGTCCTCAGACTCACCCACTTGTAGTGAAAGCATTCCCTGTAGTAAGAGGGCAAGTCTGTAACCGGGTCCCAAGCCTCCCCTTGCATCTTGTTCATCACTGAACCACTGCTAAGCTGTCACCTACATAAGCCTGACTTCAAAGATTGGCTACGATTGCAGAGCCTCTTAGCACAGGGGTGGGGTGGTGCCTGTAGGGGAGGGGAGAATCTGCAGCCCTGTCTTTTACAAGGGGGACACAGTAAAGCCATGTGGCCTTGGAAGGTTTGAATTCTGACCTTTCCTTTTTCTTCCAGAGTTTACCAAGACGGTCAAAGAGACATATTGCTCAGTGACAAATCTTGAGCCAAATACCCAATATGAGTTTTGGGTGGTCGCTCAGAACAGGACCGGCCCCAGCCCCTCCAGTGAGCACGCAGTGTATATGACAGGTACTGAATGGCTCATTCTCATTCAAGGCGACTCGGGAGTTGTGGGTTTCTAGGCGTGACTGGGTTTTTGGCGCACGCCTTTAATCCCAGCACTTGGAAGGCAGAGGCAGGCAGATCTCTGTGAGTTCAAGGCCAGCCTGGTCTACAAGAGCTAGTTCCAGGACAGGCACCAAAAAACTTCAGAGAAACCCTGTCTCGAAAATCAAAAAAAAAAAAAAAAGAATCCATTTCATTTGAAAGGACAGAAAGAGCTGCGTGTGGTTGCTTTTCTTCTCTGTGCGTCGTTTAATGCATTAGATCTACATGGCAGTGTTGTTGGGACATTTTTTTCCCATAGTTGGTCCATCACCCACAGCTTACTGACACTTGGGACTTGTATTAAGTTACTTTTGTATGGCTGTTTTGAAACACCATGCCCCAGGCAATTTAAAGAAGGAAGGGTTTATTTAGGGTTACAGTTCCAGAGAGATAAGAATGACTGCAGAGCCAGGCAGTGGTGGCACACACCTTTAATCCCAGCACTCTGGAGGCAGAGGTCAGCAGATGTCTGTGAGTTCGAGGCCAGCCTGGTCTACAAGAGCTACTTCCATGAAAGCTAAGACTGTTACACAGAGAAAACCTGTGTCGAAAAGAGAAGTGAGAGAGAGAGAGAGAGAGAGAGAGAGAGAGAGAGAGAGAAAGAAGAAAGAAAGAAAAAAGAATCATGGTAGACACATGGCAACGGGTACAGCAGCTGGAGCAGACTGGGGGCTCATATCTTAAACTACAAGTGCTAGCAGAGCGTGAATGTGTGTGAGCCTTTACATTCTCAAAGCCACCTACAGTGACACACTTCCTCCAACAAGGCTACACCTCCTGAGAACTCTTCAAACTGGGGACCAAGCATTCAAATGCCCTAGGCTACGTGGGACATTTATTACTCAAACCACCACAGGCCCAGGAATGTCTGAAAGGGTGACCAGGTATTTGCATTGCTGTGGGTGATGGCCGGGCCAGAGCCTAATGGTTGTCCTGTCTCCTTTCTCCTGAGCTCAGCCCCCTCTCCCCCCACTATAAAAAGTGAGGCGATCAGAAGCTGTGAAGAGGCTGCGCTGATTTGCTGGGAGTCTGGGAACCTGAATCCTGTGGACTCCTACACAGTGGAGCTGATCCAGGCAGAGACGCCGGAAGCCTCGGGGGTAACTGAGTGAGTCTGGAGGCCTTGGCTGGGTACTACAACCTGTGCAGTGTGGGGACAAGGTTACAATTTGTGGCACACGGGCAATCTTAATTAGGTTACTTAAGGTGCTCAAGAAGTAGCTAGAATACTATTAATCATGAATGAGGAATATAAGAGGCAAAATCCTGTGTTAGTTTTCTTTCTCTCTCTTTCTTTTCTTTTCTTTCTTTCTTTCTTTCTTCCCTTCCTTCCTTTTCTCTCTCTCTCCTTCCTTTCTCTCTCCTTCCTTCCTTCCTTCCTTCCTTCCTTCCTTCCTTCCTTCCTTCCTTCCTTCCTTCCTTCCCTAATACAAAGGGCCGGGAGGGTAGTGTTTGTTTTGTTTTTTGTTTTTTTTTGAGACAGGGTTTCTCGGTGTAGTCCTGGTTGTCCTGGAATTCACTCTGTAGACCAGGCTGGCTTTGAACTCACAGAGATCCACCTGCCTCTGCCTCCAAGTGCTGGGGTCAAAAGCATGTGCCACTACACCACCTGGCTCTGGGTGGATAATCAAGGGCACACTGGGTAAGTGTGCTTGCTGTGCAAGTGGGCATGTCTGAGTTAGGATCCCCATCTCCTGTGTCAAGAGTTGGGCATGGCTCCTCACCTGTAACCCCGGTGCTATAGTGGGAGGAGACAGGAGGAACACTGGGGCTTACTGGCTGCTAGCCTAGCTCCAGGATCAGTGAGAGACCCTGTCTCAAAGGGAGAAGGCAGAAAGTGACAGAGAAGAGCACTCCATGTCCTCCCTGGCCCTATGTGTGTACACACGGGTGCATAGCCTACACACACCTCTATGTGCACAGACTGCACACATAAGCTCACTCAAGCACGCATGTGTACATGCACACACACACAGTCTTATTAAAACTTGATCTTTAGGCCAACTATAGTGGTATATTCCTGTAAACTAAGTACCTGAGGATTAAGGCAGAAGGCTTTGCCAAGAGATAGCTTGCGCTATAGAGTAAGACCTTGTCTCAAGAAACAACAATAAAACAAAACAATAAATAAATAAAAACAAAACAATCACTGGGTGCACGCCTTTAATCCCAGCACTCAGGAGGCAGAGGCAGGCGGATCTCTGTGAGTTCTAGACCAGCCTGGTCTACAGAGCTAGTTCCAGGACAGGCTCCAAAACCACAGAGAAACCCTGTCTCAAAAAAACAAAAAAAAAAGAGAGAGAGAGAGAGAGAATGGAGGAGGGTTCAGGGCAGCTTTTGGGGAAGCAAAGTATTTGTTTGTTTGTTTACTTACTTAATTACTTATTTATTAAACAGCCTAACCTCAGCTTCCCCCCCCCCTTCTCCTTTATTCCCCTGCTCAATCCACCCCTCCTCCATAACACTCAGAAAGGGAGGTAAATCCTAATGCTGGCCTCGTATGGGAGCCTATGTAAGAAAGCGTGAACTTACTGTGGACTGTGGATGGGCAGAATGCAGAATACTTCCCACAGGGGACCAAACAGTGATGAGCAAACACACTTGAAAGCAAGGACATGAAGCATGCCCACATTATCTCTGTGGGAAAGGCAAAGGCCTGGAAAGAATATTCTTGGCTCTTTGTACATGACCAAAGACGATAATACACAACTTCAGGTGTATTCCCTTGCTGCGCTTGTATTTGCTTAAGTGGACTGTAAACGTCACCTCGTGTTGTGGTTGCTTTACTAAGACAAGGAGAAGCGCTTTGTTTGCACTGCTCTCGAGCTCAAATGCCTGGAGTCCCCTGGCTACCCCACGCAGATCTTTAGCATTTTCCCTCAATCTGTGGAGACTAAGCATCGCCAGCTGGGGATGACAGACAGCTATGGAATCTAACACGAACCTATTTATCTGTTCCTGCCAGGATCTATGTGCCTATAACCACATCAAAGCTGACCTTTGTTCTCTACTTCTGAAGAGAGTCAGAAGTCGGGGGGGGGGGGGGGAGGGGGGCAGTGGTTCTGACCACCACAGTGATTCAGGTTTCCTGCACTTTTTATAATAACCTGGGACCTTGGGCCAACCCATACTGATGGAGCCCCCAGAGGACAGGTCAGCAGCCTGGGTGATCTACAGTGGTGCTCACTCTCCGAGAACAGACTGACTCATAGGTCCCATCTCTGAAGGGAAGGCTTCTCCACAGGCTGTGCCTCTTTCTTCCTCCATCCCTCATCCCATACCAACAACCCTTCACTCCCCAGCTCCTGCTTCACTTTCTCCTTGCCTCAGGACCCCTGCCCGTGTGTCCTCTGTGCTGGAGACTGTTCTATCCCCTTTGCCGCGGGACCCCTGAGCGTGTGTCTTCTGTGAGGGAGACAGTTCTATCCCCTCTCACCTGCTTTAGTCACTTTTCAGAGCTCAACATGAAAGCCACCACCATCCTTCCACAGTGTCACACACCACAGGCTTATCATGAATACCATGCGGTCTCTTGAGAAAGGCCTCTCCTCCCCTACACACCGCAGGCTCCCCAGGAACGGGGGTTGTGTTGTTTCCCCCAGGACACAGATAGCACCGCACGGAAGATGCTTTGCTAATATCTACTGAATGAACATGCAGACGTGCCCCTCTGGCCCAGAGCTGCAGCCTCCGACACGGCATCCTGTCCTTGGTGGGTAAACTGTCACATTTGTCCATGAGCACCATCCTGAAGACTCTGCTTGTCCACTGAGCTGAAATGAGTTTGCAGAAATCCAGATGGGGCTATTAGGAGCTTGTACTCCCTACGGTCCACCTGAAATGGACTGGAACATCCTCCGTGGCAGCTGTTTTTAACAAGGTTGTCTGGTCATAGACATACACTGGCAGGCATCTATGGGTCCAGGACTGTTCTGCTGTTCCTGTACTCAGTCCCGCCCTCAGGAGGTCATAGCCTCTAATAGCCAGTGACAGATACAGGGCACATACTCCACAGTGTTCCAGTAAACACTTTGAGCATAGTGCTAGGTCCTTAGGGAATCTGGCTGAGGAACTTGGAAGGGCAACAGCCAGACACAGACTGGCAAGCTAAGTGAACTGTGGGAGCCTGCTCTGGAGCCAAGCTGACACTCCTGTCTGTGCTGCTGTGGGTTAGGGGGAGCACAGTGTGTGTGTGAGAGGGATGGCTGGTGTGTGCCCGGGCTCACGCTGACGCTCGCTCCGCTTCTGCCACAGGTCTGTTGTAGGCATCCCAACCTGTGAGTCCCTGATCCAGCTGCAGCCTGGGCACAGCTACACGATCTACGTCCGAGCTCTCAATGTCGGGGGCACCAGTGCCAGGAGTGAGCCTGCGACAGTGCACACCACAGGTCTGTGCCCCAGCCACATACTCTTGGGACCCAAAATTAGCCACTGTGTTACAGACTCAGTACTGCCAAGAGTGCACCAGAAAAAAACTATCACACTGTGGGCAGATCAGGCATCGATGGGGCTTCCGGGTCATCAAAGCCCTTGCTGTTTATAAATGAAGGCCTAAGCCCCAAAGAACTTGTGTTGGCTGAGACAGTGCTAGAACTCAAGGCTTTCCCCCATGCTTCTCAGGGACCAGAGGCTGACCCCCTGGATCTGGGTGGCCTATACACTTCTTATCTCACTAAAAAGTGGTTTGGTTGGTTGGTTGATTGGTTTTGTGTTTTGAGATAGGATCTTAACTCTGTAGCTCAGGCTGGTCTAGACACAATATATAGTCACGCCAACCTAGAACTCAAGGTGATCCTCCTGCCTTAGCCTTTCCAGGGCTGAGCATTACAGATGTGAGCCACCACACCTGGTCTGGAAGAGGGTTTTTACAACATTCTCGAGATCTCTAAGTAGCCATGGCCGCCTGCCTGCTCCTGCTGTCAGACCAAGCCCCTCCGCAGTTAGCAGCCAACTGAGTCTCCACTAGTCAGCCTTCTCCCTGCCTCCCTCTCTGTCTGACCATACTGTGTGCTGACATCCCTTCTCATCTGCCTTCATAGTGCCAGAGAACTGGCATGTCCCATGTCCAAGTCCTGAGTGAGCAGAGTCCTCATTAGAAACATCTACAACCCTATGACCACTCCCCGAGCAGCGCTACAGCTCTGCATTGCTGAGACCAGCCTCATAGGGCTTGAATTGGACTCAGCTCAAGCGGGCTGAGTGGGTGGCCCTCAGATGAGCAGCAGAAACCAAGCCTAGCCAGTGTTCGGGACAAATTTCCCTCGACTGAGATCTTTCACAGAAGCACACTGTGTCTCTTTGTCCCCATTTCCATTGGCAGGAGGTCCTTGAGTAACCCACATTCCTATTCCTGCCACACAGACGGGAAAAGCAAGCGGGGTGTTTTGAAATAACAGATGCTTGCTCTAAGCAAACCAGCAGTGACACACAGGGCAAAGGGACAGCAGCTTTAGTTTCTTTCTTTTTTAAACGGCAAAGGGTTGAACCTTGGCTCACACCCAGCATACAATAGGTTGAGGCAGGAGGATTGCTACAAGTTCAAAGCCAGTTTGTGTGAAAGAATGGTTTCAGATGAGCCTGGACTGCAGTATGAGGCCCTGTCTTTTTTTTTTTTTTTTTTTTTTTTTTTTTTTTTTTTTTAAATACAACAAAGCCCAAATTCCCTCAGTTTTTTTTTTTTTTCCTCTCTTTGGCAAGGTTAGAAATTCTTACTCAGGTACACACACTCACAGACTGCAAATTAAGAACTGGTCTCTGGAATCAGAGAGGCGAGAAGTTCAGTCTGAGCTCCATCATATACCAGCCTATTTCTTGACCACCTTTGCCTCAGTTTCCTCATCTACAAAATGAACACAGTAACGCCCCTGTCTCGGTATAGCCCTGAGGACTAAGGGAGATAAAATGTGCAAACTTCTGCTGGGCACTGAGGGTTCAAGTCCGGTAGCCGTCTGCGGGTCGCTCAGCCGGCCCGGGCAAGCGTCTGTGCGTCCCTCTGGAAGAAGCCCACGTGATTCAGTAATATTGCTAGGCCATGCTGGAGAAGTCCTTAAATGACGGGCTGGGGCTTCTCCATGTTCCCTCCCTCCACAGGAAGCTACTTCCAGCTGAACAAGGACAGCTGCCATCCCTGGCTGACCATTTCTGAAGATGGGTTCACAGTGGTTCGGAGTGAGAAGAAAACCTTCAGAAGGGAGCTGCCGCCCAGCAAGACCCAGTTCACCAGGTGACTGACTGGCCACCCGGTGGAGCGTTCAGGGAACTTACCTATGCCACTGTTCTTTAGAGGAAGTTGGATTATGACAAAAGCATGCAGCTGTTGGGGAGGGACCTAGAAAAGGGGAAGACTCCTCTGCAGTGGAGATCCCAGCCTGTGGGTACTGTGGGACATGGCCAGGATGTCAGGTCACATAGCACAGGGACAGAAACCAGGCTCTAAGCACTCCCCTTGTTGCTATGTGAATCACAACCCCTTTGCGGGGGGAGGGGGGGAAGGGGGGTGTCAAACGACCCTTTCACAGGGGTCACGACGTAAGAACATCCCAAATATCAGATATTTACATTATGATTCATAACAGTGTTAAAAATTGCACTTAAGTAGCAATGAAAATAATTTTGTGGTTGGGGCCACAGCATTGAGAAGGTTGAGAACCACTGTCTTAGGTCTTGTCTTTGCAGTCCTGGCAGGAGTTCACTGGGCAAAGCAGTGCATGCACAGCAGAGCTGAAGGGAAGGGATCATAGCACAGTGGGTAATTTGTAGCTTCTTAATGAGGTTTATGAATATTTATAAGGCGGCCGCTGGTGACCCTTTTCCCTCCCCAGTCAAGGTGAACCAGATCTCTTTTTTAGAGAATTTTTCCGAGCCTCTAGAAAAGCCAAGAGAAGTCACAACCACGATGCAAGTGACACATGACGTCAGGTTTTCTAAGGATGCAGCCCCTTCGTGAGTGCATGTGTGGCAGTTGGGGAAGCATCCCGGGTCCTTAGCTTCTGGTGTAGCAGCAAGAACTAACTGCAGGGGGCTGGAGAGATGGATCAGTGGTTAAGAGCACTGACTGCTCTTCAGAGGATCCGGGTTCAATTCCCAGCACCCACATGGCAGTTCACAATAGTCTGAAGATCTAGTTGCAGGGGATCTGACACCTTCATACCAATGCAAATAAAGTTAAATAAACCCTAAAAAATTATATTAAAAAAAAAACTAACTGTAGCTCAGAGGTGTTTACCACTCTGCCCCCAGACAGGAGAGAAGCCCTGGTCCTCACCTCGGTTTACCTGCTCTGTCACCCTCACACTGTGATGCTTTAGTCCAAAGTGGTGGAGTGGGCCAGTACTAAGTGGATGCAGAAAACTGTCTTTGCACTTACACAAAACCTCAGGACAGACATTGCCTGAGGGCCATCTGTCTGTCCAACTTGCTTGCTCCTTTTAGAGCTCAGTACATTATGTGAGCTATTTACCTCTACCGTTCTTTCTCCAAGGAGATATAAGAACCTTAAAATAGGGCTATCATATAACAGGGAGAAAAACACAACAGAAGGAAGGGATAGAAGAACTCCCAAGGCTGAATCCATCTCCAGGCTTTAAACAGTAAACACAGCCTCTCTATGTCCAGGTGGCCAAAAGTAGAGTTCAGCGGAGCTGTTGAGGAAGCCAGGGGCTCTCCCATGGCCTGCAGCAGCTGGAGACACAGCTCCTCGCTGCCAGTTATTCCAGCCCAAGGAGAAGCCCAGACCACAGGCGATTTCAGGATGAGGCAGTATGAAGAAAAGCTGGAGTTTGCTAAGAGAAGCCTTCCCTGTAGAGCAAGCATGGGTGGAGAGGCAGACAGAGATGGTGTAAGAAAACAGTTGTCCGTACTCAGGGAGGTGCAGGTTTTTGAGACATGGTCTCTTACTGGACTGGGGCTTAGCTAGTAGGCTAGGTCAGTGAGCCCAGGAATCTGCCACACCACCATACCAGTTGTGTGTGTGTGTGTGTGTGTTTCTTTCTAAGACAGGGTTTCTCTGTGTAACCCTGGCTGTCCTAGAACTCACTCTGTAGGCCAGGCTGACCTCAAACTCACAGAGATCTGCCTGACTCTGCCTCCCAAGTGCTGGATTAAAAGGCATGTGCTATCACTGCCCAGCTACTTTATGTATTTTTAAATTGTGTTACTTTGTATGTACAAGTGATTGACTGTATGTATATCCGTGCATGCATGCCTGGTACACACACAGTCCAAAACAGGGTGTCCGATCTCTGGACCTGGAGTTACAGACTTCTGAGCTGCCACGGGGGTGCTGGGAATCACAGTGGTAAATACCCAAACACTCACGTCGTCTCTGCAGCCCCCGGGTTTTTCACACAGGCTCTGGGCCTTGAACTCAGGTCTTCATATTTACGAGGCAAGGACTGTACCAACTGAGCTAGCTCCCCAGCCCCTGAACAGTGAGTCTGCTAACCAAAATGAAGATCTGAAAGGCACATACCCCTCTCCGCTCTGGCAGGGGAGAGGGGTGGGAACATGGTTTCCATTTGACACACTGAACAGCTGACATCTGCAATAGGTAGATGGGGGCTGCCTTCCCAAAGCTTTGCTCAGGCGACCAGACAGGGGCTTAGAGAGTGGAAGAAAATGATGTCCGTTGGACAAATCTTTCCAGTTAGAGGCTGCAGAAGGTTTGGCTAGCAAAGGAATCTCGGCACAGATGAGACCTAGATACTTTGGGGGTTCTGATGTGACCCCACTTGCAGGGGAAACCTTCCTCTGTTGAGTACTTTGCACACCAGAATGTCCCTCTGAGCTGGCGGTGTTGTTCCCAGAGGAGGACTGGGGTCAGCTTTGATGACTGGTGAGAACGTGTGATCTTGCTTTTGGGTCACTCTCTGAATCTCTTCCAAAAAAGTTTTCTATCATCCTCATTATTAGTGTGTGTGACATGTATGTGTGCGGGCAGACACACATGTATGAGTGTAGACACATGTGTGAGTACAGACACACGTATGAGCGCAGACACACATGTATGAGCGCAGACAGACATGTGAGCACAGACACACATGTATGAGTGCAGACACACACGTATGAGCGCAGGCATGTGAGCAAGACACACATGTATGAGCACAGACACACATGTATGAGTGTAGACACATGTGTGAGTACAGACACACGTATGAGCACAGACACACATGTATGAGCACAGACACACATGTATGAGCACAGACACACACGTATAAGTGCAGACACACACGTATGAGTGCAGACACACACATACCATGGGGAGGGGGTTGGAGGATGACACAGTGGAGTTGGCGCTCTCCCTCCATCTTTTGTGAGATCTGGGGTGGAACTCAGGTTGCCAGGCTTACACAGCACACCTTCACACCAGCCCAGCCTCTGGAGTCCTGACGCCCCTAGCATGAAGGTTACCTGAGATCCTTTGTTTCTATACCTAAATCGAGGGCCGGCCAGTCATGAACTTCAAGCATATGGAGATACTTTAGCCCCTCCATCTTATAATGACTCTACCTTCATTACTATGCCTGAGCCCTTTTAAAGAGGCAACAGGACCGGTTCTGTGGGTTTCATCTCACCCATTACCAGGTGCTGTAATATTTCAATCTTCAGCATTAGCTACACCTGTGGCATCCTAAATGAAACATGTTCCCACCTTTTGATGGAACCCCGAGTCCTGTGCCTGCTACACAAGCTAACACCCCGTTCCAGCCCACACTTCTGCTTTCTAAAACCAGGTGTGCTGCTGTCATTGGAGATCTAATTCCAGTCCGAGGACGCCATTACTGGGAGGTGGAGGTAGACGAGCACTCGGACTACACGATTGGCGTGGCCTGTGAGGACGTCCCCAAACAGGAAGACCTGGGGGCGAACTGCTCGTCCTGGTGCATGAGGCATACATTCGCCTCCACAAGGTAAACTCAGTCTGCACACCCAAGGTGAGGGTTCCAAAGGCGCAAGGTTTACTAATAGTGAACAAGGCACACGCTTGCTTAGAGAAGTCACAGGTCTTCCGGTTGTTGCCACCCACTCCTGAAAGAGGAACAACAGCTACGGCTCATGCTGTGCATCTTAACCACTGGTGGGTTTTTCATTTATGCTCCGCTCCCACATTCCAAGTTTCCAGCTGCTGAGGAAGCCCAATTCCATCTCTAGTCGGTGTGGCTAATAGTTCCTAAGACCAAGGCTTCTGCAGCCGAGCACTGTGTAGAACAGATCTGTATGAAATGGCTGGTTCCATGTGGACGGAGGAAAAAAAGGTCCTGGAGCCCTGGCCAATGGGCTAAATGTTTGGACTGACAAAGCCATGGCAGCTACCTTCCTTCACTTGAAAACTTGCAAAACAAAGCACACACGCATGACCCCAAGTCCCTACCACTTTCTAAGCACCTCTTATAAGATGCAGGCAGCCAGAGGCTGCCTGCCTTTAATCTCAGCACTCAGGAGGCAGATGTAGGTAGATCTCTGAGTTTAAGGCCAGCCTGGTGTAGAGGGAGTTCCAGGACAGCCAGGGCTACACAGAGCCCTGTCTTGAAAAACCAATTCTCTGCATACATTTAATCTGAACCAAGAACAAAAGCCAAAGGCTTCTTTAGAAAAAACAAGGGTCAGATTCAAAGAGATAAAGGAGACATTGGAGTTGGGGGGCAGGAAGAAGGGGCCGTAGCGGATTATGAGGACAAGTCCTCCATTAGACACATTTTTGGTTCATGCTCTTGAGTCCATTGGTAGAGAAAGGACTCGTTTGCTGTCTGGTAGCTGCTTAGTTTAAAGGCGGAAGAAGGTGAAGGAGATGGAGCCTAGCTAGCTCACTGACACTTCAGTGTTGATCTAGGAGTGAATCAACACTGGAGAAAACACGGTTCTTCAGATGTCCATGTCCTGTGACTCGGCTTGATTTTGGCCACTGGGCGGTGGTGGCGCACGCCTTTAATCGGGAGGCAGAGACAGGCGGATCTCTGTGAGTTCGAGACCAGCCTGGTCTACAGAGCTAGTTCCAGGACAGGCTCCAAAGCCATAGAGAAACCCTGTCTCAAAAAAACCAAAAAAAAAAAAAAAAAAAAACCCCAAAGTACACAGGTTACATAAAAAGTGTACGGCAGTGCTCAGAACTCACCTGGGGCAGCCAGGTGACCACAGCCTCCGGCTTGGGTGTAAGTTTAAGAACTGAATGTCATGGAGTCCTGGTTCAGGTTATACAGAAAGCCTGTTTCTCATGAAGGCCTGCAGGGCTCCCATTTCAAATGTCTTTACTCCAAATGAGTAACACTGGCTTCAGATTTCCTCTTTCTGCACAATTCTGATGCAGGGGGAGTTCGTGGTTCTGTATAAGAGCTTTTCAGGTGCAGAATTCACTCAAGAAGAAAGTCTGAAACTGTTTTACGACAAATGTTAGCAAAAGTAGTTTGGAAATGTCATGTTACTTGGTAGTCAGGGATTACAAGGGACAAAATCGTAGGGGTATAAATCAGGTCAGTACGAAACACTCTGCAAGCAGCTTCCTGTGGTTCCCAAAGCTTTGTTGTATCAACATTAAATTTTCAGGCACCGGTATGAATTTCTGCACGACAGGACGACTCCAGACATAAGAATCACAGTTGCCCCAAAGAAGATTGGTGTCCTGCTAGACTATGAAAACTCCAAGCTGTCGTTTTTCAACGTGGACATTGCTCAACATCTGTACACATTCAACTGTCAGCTCCACCAATTCGTGCACCCCTGTTTTTCTTTGGAAAAGTCCGGAAGCCTAAAGATCCGCAATGGCATCTCAATGCCAAAGCATGTCACTTTTTTTTAGGTCCTTCTGATGTTGTTTCAAGTCTTTCTGTCCTCTTCCCTCAGCCACCCTCACTTTGCTGACTGAACTTGGTATTCAAGTTTCCTGCAGCCAGCACAAGCCACAGTTCACGCTAGTGTCATGGGGTAGATGGGTGGATGGGGTGCTGGACCCATTTCACCTGATAATGGACTCATCCTGGTGCAGCTCCCTGTGTGATGCCCGGGGAGCCATTATCAGACCAGGCTGTCAGAGAAGGGGCCAGACTCTGAACTCAAAGGGCTCTTGTGGGCTTGAACTGCACTTGTCTGTTTGTGGATATGTAAAGTATTTTGAGTCTCCTAAGCCTATAGACATAAGGATAGTGTCAGGAAGTCATTTATAAATTATAATTTATAAGGGTTAAGGCTTCAGCAGCCCCGCACATGTGTGACGTTTCACTATTTACTGAGAACAGACCCAAGAAGGCAAGAAACTCTGCAGAAATACAAGGAAGTCAGGTACCCATCTCAAGACCACCGTGGTAGGTTAAGAAGGGCTCATCTATTTCAATGCTTAGTCATCCAGAGTGCCACTATTTGAGAAGGATTAGCATGACTAGGAGGTGTGGCCTTGCTGGTGGAAGTGTGTCACTGGGGGTGAGCTTTGGGGTTCCAAAAGCCCAGGCCAGGCCCGGTCTGTCTTTCCGCCTGTGGATCAGGATGTCCCTCTCTCTCAGCTACTGCTCCAGCGCCGTGAGTGCTGCCCTGCTTCCTGCCATGATGATGGGCTAAGCCTCAAAACTGTGAAGCCCCCATTACATTTTGTAAGAGTTGCCTTGGTCGTGGTGTCTCGTCACAGCAGCAGAACAGTGACTGAGACAGAAGCGGTACTAGGGCCTGGAGTGCTACTGTGACGGGCCTGCCCACGCTGCTTGTCAGAGGAATATGGAAGAACTTGGGACTCTGAAATAAAAAAATGGTTGGGCACTTATGTGGGGCTTAATAGGAGCATGGAAAACAGTGTTGGGGGTGATTTGAACTGTGAGGGCCCAGATCAAGAAGTTCAAGAGGGGATGAACATTAGCAAGTGGCCTAGAGACCATTCTTGTGCTGTTTTGGCAAAGACTGGGGCCACTTTTTGCCCTTGCACTAAAAATCTGCCTGAAGCTAAACTCAAGTTTTGGATTAAGGATTTAGCAGAGATCTCAAGACAGCCTGGTGTTGACCCTGTCGTGTGGCTCTTGGTGATTGCTCTTATGCAGATTTTTAACGAAGAGGAAGGGGAGCAATCTAAGTACAAAATGTACAGTTTGAGGAGACAAGGAACACTAGGAAGTGCTTGTTTGAGCCAAGTCTGCGGTCAAGGAGACGAAACATTTAAGGAGAAAGCCCCATGCTAAAATGAAAGTGGTGACCTCAGGGCAAGAATGCACCTAGCTAAGTTTCCAGGGAAGCCTGAACAGTGAAGGTCACCATTTACATAAAGAGGGGTCCAGCCCAGCCCCAGCAAGCAGTAGACCTTGGCAGTTTAGCCACTTCTGGCTCCAGAGTCAAGAACACAAAGAGGGTTGTGGAATCTCCCTCCGCAGCTAAGGAATGTCCTGAAACCAGGTGTGTGTCTGGGCTGTCCCTGCAGGGAGTGTGAAGCTATAAAGGTTGATACCTGATTGCCTTGGAAACCAAAATAGGTTGGAGATGCCAGAACCCTGGGATAGCTGCCAAGGAGAGCTGCTAACAGGGTGTGGAAGCAGCCCAAGAGAGAAGTGTATTTCAGTCAGCACAACTGACAGTGCTGTGCCCAGAGTCTGGACCCCAAACCAAGAGACCAGATAGACGAAAAAGCAAGAGTCCTTTTAATTACAAGCTCAGGTCCATCCGACACAGCTGGTGGAGTAGGCAGGACCCCCGAGCCACAGTGGGGCAGGGCATTTATTGGGGTCACCGCAAGGCGAAGGTCTAGGGGTCTTCAAGTCTCTGGATTGGCACACCTTAGGCTGGGGGAACCTGTCCTGAGCTGATCGGTCAGCTGCAGCTGTGGAAAGATTGCTGTACCTGGAGGCCAGCCAGGGGGCAGTTCCTGTGCTCACCATTATCAGTAAAGCCTGCCCAGAGCCTGCCAGCTTACTTCTGATTGGTTCCTTACTACAGGAGGATGTCTGGCAGTAATTAGGACAAGGTCAGGAAAGGTCAGGGGCTTAGCACATCTTGCTGGGTCTTTTCTGCAGCCTGTCATGGCTGCCAAAGTGGGGGCTGGATGAGCATTCTGAAGAATGCGTTGACATTATATGTGTAGATGAAGAATTTAGTGGGCTCTGCTGGGCTAGGTCTGGCTTTGGCCCGGAGCTCCTCACTCTGATCCCTTTCATTCCCTTGGAATGGTAATGTATATTCTGTGCTACAGTATGTTGGGAGGAAGTATGCAATCTGTGTTTTTATTTTGATTTTATAGAGGGTCACAGTTCAGAGACTGCCTTGAGTCTCAGGGGAAACTGAACTTCTAAGAGTGTTAGGACGGCAGTGGAACAGTGACTGAAACCGCCATCCATCCCTGCGGTTCATAACGAAAGCGGGTAGCAGCATGGCAGGTCCCCCCGCGTCCATGTTCTGTAATGCCCTGTCTTCCGCATGGTGGTCTGACCACACTCTAGTGCTGAGATCACCTCTGGGATGACTAAAGGCAGGACGGTGTGTGCCTTGTTATAGTGCGACCTTGGAGGCCAACACGCCAACAGGTGCACACCAATATGTGTAAAAAGCACCTTCATCTAACTCATGCTGCTCTCGGTGGCAAAGCCGGCAGGGCTCCTTCAACTACAGCAAAGCACCTATGGCAGGAAGAAAACCCCATGAAATAGCGTGAAGGAACGGAAGGCACCTGCGGTTCAGGGGAGCATTTCACACACCACACACACACACACACACACACACCCTGTGAATGGGGTGCTTTCCTGTGTGCAGAGAGAGGGGCCAGGGATGGATGGCGTTATGAGGAAGAACATTGGTGATGGTCATTCTAGGTATTGTCACAAAATGTAAGCAGCCAGACTGGAAACCATCAACTGGGCCTGACTGCTATTTTGTACCTACTAGCCTAAAACCTTACAGACCAGCTTCCGTTCAAACCAAGAGAAAGTCGTGTTTGTCCGCAGGGATGTGAGGCGTCACGACAAAGCTAAGCGCCAAGTAACAAATGACATACGGTATAGTTATGGTGTTCAAAGTCAAAGCTGGGTCCTCATGAGAAGAACACACTCTGGCCAGCAGCTCTCAAGGGCCATTTAGTGACCGTGGACCTGGCTTCCCGTCCACATTCCCAATACTTTCATAAGTCGCAGTCTAGCTCGGGACTCCGGCTGCACGGCAAGAACTCCTCTTGTAAAACGGAGACTGTGTTGAGTGCCGTGTCCGCTGATGCCACCTAACACAGGCAAGCCCTACTCTGACCACCCAGGGTTTACGACTTTGTTTCCTAGCGCACTTCAAGTCTAGCACGGTAACAACTCTCATCTCCTTCCAGACTGAACTAGTGTGAGCAGCAGCTGAGAATCCTGGTTATCACTTGCCCAGAGAGTTTAACAGCTTCTGTGTGTGTGTGTGTCCCTGTCTCCCTTCTCCGTGTCTTTGTCACACACATGCACACACAGACACACTCACCCCTGCTCTGCCAACCTAGCCTCTTACCTCACACAGAACTGGCTGGAACATTACTGAAATACGCAGGTGTATAGTGAACAGTACTCCCTACTGAAATAGAAACCACCAAATGGGAAATGCGGATCACAGACATGGTGGCCAGTTTGGCTTCAGAGTTCTAGTGGGACCCCTGGAATGTGTCACACAGACTACAAACATGGGCAAATGACAGAAACAGGACACCTGTTAAGATTTTAAAACTCTTTTAATTTAACAAGATATCTAGATCTTTGACATTTAAAATTTACTTAAACTAGAGGTCAGCCAACGTCAAGAATCACATATAAGGAACCTTTAAGAATGTCATCACTTTTTTTTCTTTTTTTGGTTTTTCGAGACAGGTTTCTCTGTAGCTTTGGAGCCTATCCTGGAATTAGCTCTTTAGACCAAGCTGGCCTCAAACTCACCTGCCTCTGCCTCCCGAGTGTTGGGATTAAATGCATGCACCACCACCACCCAGCTAAGAATGTCATCTTCTTCAAGAGAAAAAGATTAATCCAAAAATAAGAGAAAATCTGCTGGATTTTGTGATATATCCCAAATCCTTACAATCCCATGCAGAAGCTGAGGAAACTAAATTTTGACCAAGGGTAGGGCTTACCTCATGTCCATGTTCAGCTCGACCTGCTGATAAATCTGTTAAAAAACAAAACAGGAAAACATTAAATTTTTGTGTGTGGGTGTGTGTTTGAACGTTTCTTTGAGACTGTCTCATTATGTAACCCTGGGGGCTTGGAACTTGCTATTTAGACCAGGCTGGCCTTGAACTCCGGCCACCACACCCAGTATAGAAAAGTATTTTTTAAAAACAGACCACTATGACCACAACCCCTAAACTGGGCAGATAAACCCAACTACACCTGCTCTTCTCCCAGCTTTCCCCAACTTGCTGTGTAACTCCCATCACACAAGTCCTGGACCCTACCTGAGCAAGGGGAACGAGTCTGTAAAACCTTCACAGGACCGTGGAGGAGTGTGTGGGGGGGGGGGGGAGCTGGCAAGCATTTAGTAGCCAGACTATCCGAATGCATCCTATTTTTTTTACATATATTTATTTATTATGTATATAATATTCTGTCTGTGTATATGCCTGCAGGTCAGAAGAGGGCACCAGACCTCATTACAAATGGCTGTGAGCCACCACGTGGATGCTGGGAATTGAACTCGGGACCTTTGGAAGAGCAGGCAGTGCTCTTAACTGCTGAGCCACCTCTCCAGCCCCCGAATGTATCATCTTTAGCAGCAGAATGAACAAGCAGTTAGGAACATGGAATATAAAACACTACTGACTTTTGGTAAAATTAAATAGTTTTATTTACAGAATTATTATTGTTGTTGTTTGTTGTCATTGATGGTAGTGGTTTGGTTTTGGTTGTTTGAGACAGTGTCTCACTAGGTAGCCCAAGCTGACCTTGCACGTGTAGCAATCCTCTTGGCTCAGCTTCCCAAATGCTGGGATCACATACATGAGCCATTGTGAATGGCAAAAAGTGCTGTGTGTGACTGCCTCCTGAGGCTGGTGAGACGGCTCAGCAGGTGGTAAGGTTTCGTGCCAAACCTGATGACCTGAGTTCAACCCCCAGAGCCCATGTGATGAAGAAAGAATCTGCAAGTTGTCCTGTAAACTTCATGTGTGGACCACGACACATAACCTCACCATACCTCTTCCACACAAGAAAGTAAAATAAGTAACAGGCTCCCTGCTGGCTCGAATGATGGCAATCAATTAAACAAAATAAATAAAATATTTCTATAGCATGTACTTGGCTGTCAGTACAAAACAGAACAAGTTTCTTGGCAGTTGGGCATTCTCAACTTCTCACCCTCAAATCTGGTAAAGCCACCGCCCTACGTGACTCACTCACCAGAGGCTGAGCACAGCACAATCTACTCTGGTGTGGCACTCTGCGGATCATACAGCAGTTTTTGGATTCTTAGAGTCTGCACTATAGGAAATGTCTCTCAGCTTCCTAAAAGCCCCCGTGTGAGCTCCAGGCACCTTCCTATCACTAGTGGAGTGAGACCGTGTCCACTCTGGCTCTCCCTACTCTTCTCATCTATCCGTTCACGCCAACGACTTCCTGTGGTAAGGCTGCAGAAAGTAGGGAATGGCTGTTGGTAGATAAGTAGGTCTTGAATTTATTTTGCAAACAAGACCTGTTCTATCTACCTTTTCATTTAGGAGGCTAAAGGCAGGGTCAGCTTGACTTCAAGGACTCTGTTTTCTTAGTCTCCAGAACAATACGATTGAATCTATCATTTAAGGCATTATTATTCTTTAGCTGGGGATGCCTGTAACCCCAGAACTTGGAAGGTAGTGGCAGTAGGATCAGAAGTTCAAGGTCATCCTCAGCTACATAGCAAAGCCTAGGCTTCATGAGACCCTACCTGAAGAAATTAAACTAAAAGCTAGGCATAGTGGCTCACCCCATAATCTCAGCACTCAGGAGGCTCAAGCAGGACTGCCACAGTCTAAGGCTAGTCTGGACTACAAATCTATTCTTAAACCACTAGTCTTAAAATGCCTAAATATTTTTTATGTGTTCTGGGTTTGTTTGTTTGGTTGGTTGGTTTTTCGAGACAGGGTTTTTTTTTTCTGTAGCTTTGGAGCCTGTCCTGCAACTAGCTCTTATAGACCAGGCTGGTCTCGAACTCACAGAGATCCACTTGTCTTTGCTTCCTGAGTGGTGGGATTAAAGGCATGCGCCACCATCGCCCGGCAAATGCCTAGATACTAAAGAAAATTCATAACTTTAGGCTTGAAGACCTGAACATTGCAGACAAGCTTCCTTTAGTGCCAATGTAACAGAGCTGAACGAAGGCGACAGTTTTCCAGTTAGCACCTGTCATCAGCAAGGAGGTACCTATGACCGGTACCACAGCCACTCAACAGAGCTGTTGCTGCGCAGTTCTTGTCAAGTTCACTGTGGCCCATCACATCACTGTGTGCTGCCGCCACCAATCCAGGAAACAAACGAGGCTCAGCTCCCAGCTGGACTACTGTTCTTCCTATTCTCGACTCTGAGAGAATCTGGTTTCTCTGATGTTTTCACTTAGTCAAACTTGGTATATTTAAACCTCCATTTATTTGAGATTTAGAATTAAACAGGCTATAGCTGATTCAAACAACATGCAGAGACTAAGCCAAAATACTTGCACAGTATGAACTAGAATCCGAGTCTGTCCTTCACCATCCCTGAGCCTGCATTTGGATCTTTTCCCCGAAGGGAATCTGGAGACAGTGACGTAACACACCCCCGGGAAAGCTCCCAGCCAACAAAACTCGACTTTCCCAGCTTTCCTACTTAACAGGAACATGCTGTTCAGAAACGGACTGACTAGATGTGCACACTACTCTCCCAGAAGCCTGCCCCTCATTTTGCCACCTACTCTACTCCCTTCCACATCCCAAACATTAATCTGAAGAGGGGAGAAGTAGCGAGTGAGAAGGAAGAATCAAGAAGCAATACCCAAAGGATAGACAGCATTCTGGAAAAAGTCGAAAGATACTCAATACTGTCCTTTTACCATTTATACTTTATAAACCATCAACTGATTCCTAGATACCTAGAGTGGTCCTCCTCCTCTCTGTTCTCCTAATGCCTGCCTGGCTCAGAATCACCTCTGCGACGCGCAGCCTAAACCACCTCTCTCCAGGTACGGGACACACACTCACCGTTTACAGAACACTCGAGTGACGATACTGCAACCACTGGCTTGTGTCTGCTCCCCTTGAATTATGCGTATCAAAGGCATGGTTGTGGCTGCATAATCTCTGAATGCTCAGAGCATGGGAACAACTGCTCTCTGCATTCTGGGAACTCATACACCTGAAGAGAGAAACAAGACATTAATGACACAAATCGACGGAAAAGCTTTCTCACCAGAAATCAAAGCAGCTGTCAAGTGTATGTTCCAGGGGGCTGTGGAATGAGGTTAAAAACGTGGGTCAATAGTTCTCTTCTGCCCGAATACATACTCCCATTAGTAACTGTGGTGACCTCTAATTTGTGTAGCCTGAGTGTATAAAAGCCAAGCGTTGTGGTGGATGTAGTGTACAATGACACCCCCCCCCCATTACTACAAGACACTCACATTCAATACTTGGTATAGTTTTGACTATTTCTAAAATAGCCCAGAGATCTATGATCTGCTATTTTAAATTCTCTGAATCATGAATCTGGTTCATAATCCCTGGAGATCACTGTGTCCAAGTTGCCCCTGACCCCCACCAAGTTTAACTACCTGCCATACATTTTGAGCACCACACAACAATATGGCTATCTCCTAGTTTACTACAGAGAGCACAAAGTCCTTGTTCTCCCCTCCTCCCCACCTTTGATGGTGGGAATCAAGCCCAGGGTCTTGTCCACACAAGGTACCCACCTTACCAGAGTTACACCCCCAGCCCAATATAAGCAACTTCCCTACTCACATAACAACTGCAGTCAGTAATAGGTGCGTTTGTACACTTATCAATTAAAAACTCATGAGCATTTAAAGAGAGAAGGGACGTGTCAGTGGAACAGCAACAGACAGCTGGCTACTGGCAGAAGGTAAGACACAGCTAACTGGCCAACAGAAGGAGCAGAAATGAGAACTGCCTGTTGTTGGTCCACGTCCCAACCCAGCGAACTGATAAGTCTCTAGAAATAGGTTTGAGCCATGTCCTTAAAATTCCTAGCAGGAGCGACAGGCAACAGGATTTTTAAAGAAAATACAAAATGTAAGCCCATTTGTATTCTTGTGTCTAGAATTCTACAGCGTCTAGACATGCAATACTGTGCATATCACGGCATTTTCAGGTGATACGTCTGCCCGTGTCGCAATTCAACAGTAACCATTTATCTACATAAGAAAGTCATTCATTGTGAGCAACATGATGTGGGTGCTGGGAGTCAAATCCTGATCCTCTGCCAAGAGCCACAAATGTTCTTAACTACTGAGACATTAACCTGGTATCTAGATGCACCTCGCCACCCTCTTCATTCCTTCTCCTGCGTCTCCAAGCTCCTGCCCGTACACCCACACCATCTGAAAGCAACTGAAAAGCAATCTGCATAGACTACAAGAATTGTGAGCTGGAAATGGAATGAGATGGTAATCGTGACTCCATCCTTCCCACCGTGCGACTTCCCACCAGTCTCTTTTCCCGCTCTTCAGTAGAAGCTGAAAGATGATGTATTATCAAGATGTCTTCGTTCCACTTCTAACATCAAATGACTTTGCTGACATTCAAGAAGCTTAAAAATCACCAATTCCGTCTGTGCGCGCGCCTGCGCTTCAAATTCTTGCTACAGGTGATTCCTCAAACAAGAGTCATCGATTCGGAGTTTGTAGAGCAGATATTCATCAGCTCTGTGGATGTGAATATGTACGTGTGAATGCATGCGTGCTTGTATGTACGTACGTATGCATGTGTGTGTGCTTAACTAAACTTCAGTCTGTGTGAGCGCGTATTTCTTGCACATCTACCCACCACCGCAGCTCCGCGGGCTATCAAACGCTCTTTAAAGAGAGATGGAGAAAACAAAGCAGAGAGAAGTAGGACCGACGCCCGGGTAGCTTACCCAGCTCTTCTACTCCCATTCCTCTGACGCCAGCCAACCTACTGGGACCCCACGGACGCCTACCGCAACAGACACTAGCCCAACTTCACAAGACAAAACCTACCAGCATCAGGTGTCTGGCTCCGGGTCGCAACTTCTCTCTCCTTCCGGCGGAAAATCGACCCACTTCCTGTCTCGGGACGTGGGGAGGAAGTCCCGCCTCACGCAGCAGCGCCACCAATCACAGGCTTGCTGCTTGGCCACAGGGCACCGAAACTCTCGGACAGACTTGTGGTTTCAGGCTGGGTGTTGGACAGATGCTTCATGGTTTCAGAGTGTTATTTTCCGCTCCCCTGGCAGTTGCAGTTGCAGTTTCGGGGCTGCAACCTCCCGCCCTGTCCCGGCGACCCTCCTTGCGGCCTTGCGCCACCCAGCCCAGGCTGTTAAGCTTCTTCGTGTTCAGTCTCGCCATCCTGCTTATCCAGCGCTGCCTACACTGCACCTCAGTAGCGCATCTTCTGGGTAGCCTTCTTTGCTTCCCGGGGTTGCAAGTCCCTGCATCTTCACCGAGGAAGGGACGAAGAGCATCCTGGCCTTCCTTGTTCAGGGACGTGGTAATTTTCAGTCTTTAGATGACAAATAAAATCATTTTTGGCTTAGTTTCCTGTGGGGCGGCTCCAAGAAGACCTCAAATGCTGAGAGGCTTAAACAACAGACTTATGGGACATTTGCGCCTGGGTAGAGCCAGGCTTCCTCTGTCGTTTTGAATAGAGTTCTTTGCCTTTTCTTAGTTGCTAGCATCATGTGTGTACTGTGTCTTGGAGCAACATCACTCCGTTCTGTTGTCAAACGCTGCTCTCCCTATTTCTCTTTGTTTCTGTGTCTTTTTTTTAAGGACACCAATCCTACTGGATGAAAAAGCCCATCTCGTTCCAGTATTGCAGATGTGCAGTGTGACCTTATTTCCAGAAGTTCACACTGTGAGACATCAACTTCGGAGGCGGCACTAGATACCCCAGTAAGTTGTCAGAGTTCTCCAGGAATATGCAAACCCAAAACTGGCTGTAGGAATGAATTCAAACGAAGTTCCTTTGGATCCTTGAAGTTTGGGGTCAGAATTTGAAGCAAAAGGAACAAGATAAGGAAACAAGAATTGGTCTGTGAACGCAGGTTTAAAGAAGAAAGGGTTTTATATACAGTCCAAGGTGTTTGGATTTTATACACAAAACCAGAAGCAAATATTAATTTGTTATTAGTTTGATTCAAACCCACTTAATTTTTCTTACTCATTTAAGAAGATATAACGTTCTGGGTATAATGCACATTCCTTTAATACCAGCTCTCAGGAGGCAGACAGATCTCTCTCTCTGAATTCAAGGCCATATTGGTCTATGTAGAGTTCCAGGCTGGCCAGAACTGCCCAGTGAGAAGAAGAAAGAAGAACAGAGAGCCAGGGCTATGCGGTGAGACCATACTCCTGTTTTCTAGGCATGGCCTGTGCCATTTTCTCGCTCTAGTGTAGGCACAGTCACTCCTCTGTCTGGAACGCTGCCACCAAGTTGCACACTCTTTGCCTGCCTGATTGGCTGCGTCAACACTATTTTAACATAAGAAAGTACTCATTGGGCTGGAGAGATGGCTCAGAGGTTAAGGGCATTGCCTGCTCTTCCAAAGGTCCTGAGTTCAATTCCCAGTAACCACATGATTGCTCACAACCATCTGTAATGGGGTCTGGTGCCCTCTTCTGCAGGCATACACATAGACAGAATATTGTATACATAATAAATAAATAAATATTTTTAAAAAAAAAAAGAAAGTACTCGTCATTTACTAGTCTTAGTATCTTATTTAGGGTTTCTATTACTGCAACAAAATGCCATGATCAAAAAGCAAGTTGGGAGCCTGGTGGTGGGGCAAACACCTTTAATCCCAGCACTTGGGAGGCAGAGAGAGGCAGGCAGATCTCTATGAGTTCAAGGTCAGCCTGGTCTACAGAGTGAGTTCCAGGACAGGCTCCAAAACTACAGAGAAACCCTGTCTCAGAAAACCAAAACAACAACAACAAGAAGAAGAAAAAAGCAAGTTGGGGAAGAGAGGATTCATTTTACTTACACCTCAGCATTGCTGTTCATCAATGAAGGAAGTCAAGACAGGAGCTCAGAACAGGATCCTAGAGGCAGGAGCTGGTGCAGAGGCCATGGAGGGTGCTACTTATTGGCTTGCTCCTCATGGCTTGCTCAGCCTGATTTCTGACCACCAGCCCAGGACCACCAGCCCAGGGATGGCACCACCCACCATGGGCTGGACCATCCCCCATCAATCACTAATTGAGAAAATGTCTTACAGCTGGATCTCAGGAGGCATTTCCTCAAAGGAGGCTCCTTCCTCTCTGATGACTCGGGCTTGTATCGAGTTGACACAAAACCAGACAGTCCAGTCAGTGTCTTAAATACTAAACCAGGCAAAGAGCACAAGAGAAAACTCGGAGCTAAACTCACTTAGAGGCAAAGCCCTGGGCAGATCAGCAAACCTACCTTACAGTCTATCTAGATCAGTGGTTCTCAACCTGTGGGTCTTGACCCTTTTGGGGTGTCTTTCACAGGGGTCACAAATCAGATATCCTGCACATCAGATATTTACATTACGATGTGTAACAGTAGCAAAATTACAGTCATGAAGTAGAAATGAAAGTAATTTTATGGTGGGGGTCACCGCAACATGAGGAACTGTACTAAAGGGTTGCAGCATTAGGAAGGTTGAGAACCACTGCTCTAGACAGATAAAGAATTGGTTTCCCCAGAAATGACTTGACATTAGAAAACCTATCACCGCAAATTATTGTGTTAATAATTTAGAGGTTTAATACTACACAATTATCTCAATGGCTAACATTTTAAAAGCCAGTATCTACTTAGCAGAATGAGAATAGATAACAATTTGGTGAAAGGCTTTTTGGCAGAAAGCTGTTGTGAATATGACTTAAAAGACAATTATTCTCACAGGAAAGTGCGAATACCCAATTTTACTGCTAATATTTAACATGGTGGTAGATTTTTGGATGGGGCAAAAGCATTAGGAAAGAAAGAAATGAAAATACCATTTTCAGATGACATGGTTTTCTTTCTAAAAAGATGGTAGTGATGAACTATTAGAAGGCTCAGAAAAATGGTTGCATGGGTTAATACTTAAAACTTGTTATATACCAGTAACAAAGTGTGAGAAAATGGAACCCATCTAGATCAGCGAGATGACTCAGCTGGTAAAGGTACTCGCAGCCAGTCTTGATGGTCTGAGTCCAATCTCCAGAACTTAAAGTGGTGGAAGGGGGGAACTGATTCCTTCATACTGTCCTCTGACAGCCGTACATGAACTGTGGGGCACATGGGTACAGGTGCACACAAATCCACAAATAAACGTAGTTATTTAAAAAGGAACCCATCCAGATGTGCTAATACAAAATACCTACAAATATATTGAACAAAAGGTATAGAGGTTTAAGGCAAATAGAAACTACTGTTGAACGGCAGTAACTGAGCTGGGAAATTTTAGTGTTTTAAAGATGATGTTCTATTGCAAATTATCGAGACATTTTGATTAGAATACTAATAAAGTCTTTGCAAATAACTCTTAGGCCAAAGTGTGCTATTCTTTGGGGATACCACTAGAGTCCATGTCCCGATATGTAGGATCTGCTCAGAGTGAGGCTGATGTGCATGCCCCCGGCTCTACTGTGTTAATTAAGTTCTGGTATTTAAAGTTACATCGGATTCCTTAAATTGGGGAGTGTTGGAACACCATCCAAGAATGGAGTCCTCTGAGAATTCTGAGTGCTTGTGAGAAAACGCCAAGAAAATAAGACAAGAGTCCTGTGACCTCAGTTTCTTCACAACACTGAGTTGTTCTTGGGGTGTGTTCATGCTCCTCCCAGGTGTAGCAGATAGGACCAGCTGACTTCCGCTGTCATTATTCAGATGTCTCTATGGACAAACGTGTTTGCCATGTGACTTGTCCCTGTGTTGAACACCTTTCTCGTGTGACTCTTCTTAACCCTCAAGCATGAATCGTCGTCTGATGCGCTGGATAAAGCTGGTTATTGAGTAGTACTTTGGTCCACCCCATTTCTAGGCCCCACTCTCAGGTCCCGCTGCCTTCAGAGTGGTAGAAAGGAGCACTTCACATTGTTCTATGACCTGAAAAGCCCAAGAGACTTTAGAGTTGCCTTTTCTTTTCAGTTAGGACAGATAACTCGGTGTGAGACTGTCTTGAAACCTGACGGATGGATGCATTACAGTGTAGATTTAAAGCCACCTCTATGACAGTGGCATTACTCTACTTCTACTTTTCTGGGATTCTGATATTTTGCTTGGAAAGCATCCATTTATAATCAGGTTTCCGACTGCTAGCCAGCTACTGCAGAGGGTCAAATGTGAGGATTCCTGGAGTCCATGAGTTCCAGACTAGTCAGTGAAATAGCAACAACTTTCCCTCAAAAACCAACCAAAATTGTGCATGTGGCTCTTCCCTCTCAGGTGACAGGCCAGTCTCGCAGATTTATTTTTACAACAGGGCCCCCATAGGCTCTTGTGTTTGAATACTTGGTCTCAGTTAGTAGAACTGTTTGGGAAGGACTAGAAGGTGTGGCCATGTTGGAGGACCTGTGTCACTGGAGGTGGCCTTTGAGGTTTCCAAAGCCCACACCACCATTCAAGGTTAGCACTCTGCCTCTTGCGTGTGAATCAGATGTAAGCTGTCGGTGCCATGCTTGTTTGCCTGCTGCGACACTGCTTGCCATGATGTCATGAACTCTGCTACCCTCTGGAACTGTGGTCATGGTGTCTTATCACAGCAGTACTAAAAGTAACTAAAATAGCATCCATTTGCAAGATGTTGGGTGGACAGTTTCGACTCCTCTGGGTTAATAATACTAAGGAAGACAATCTCTAAATTATGTGATAAGGACAGAAATATTTTCCAAACTGGATTACTCTGCATTCCTACCAGCAGTGAGAGAGACTTCCTAATGATTCAAAGGTTTGCTAACATTTGATGCTGTGTTCCAGGCTTTGGCCATTCCAGGAGTGTGCAGCAGTTTCTTCTTGTTTAGCTTGCGTTTCTCTAACTGATGGCCTGGCTGTCTCTCCATGTGCTTCTTTAGCATAGAAGCACACCT